TAAGTGGTGAAGAGATGACAGAGTTGTGACTACTGCTAAATTCAGAAGTAGAGGAGATTAGAAAGGTACAGATGTGAAGAAAAATCATACCGCCTTTGAAACACTCTGAGAGGTTACCACAACACAGAGGTGAAAGCAGACTTCCAAAAAGGACAGAGTTCCCATGACCAACAGATGTGAAGTATCAATGTCATAGAACTGCCCTGGGACTTTAATGGAGGCTTAGCATGAAGGGAGGCGTAACTACCTCCCCCCACCAACTACGCAGGATTGACAAAACAGCGCAGTGGGGAGGGAGATACGTACTGGGCATACTGGGCGAATGTCTGCTGAGCTCCAGCTCTGGTCTCTCCAGGCTGCTCTGAAAGTCAGGAGGCAGCAGGGAAGCCACTCCCTCAGGATGGATCATCTCGTCCTCCGACTCAGCTGAAGCTTCTGCAAAGCACAGATTGGGTCGGGGCAGGGAGGGAGTGAAGGGCTCAGCATATGGGAATATGTAGAGGAGCGAAGGAGATCAGCAAAGTCATGTGATACAGAGTATATACTAAAAAGAGCACTGTACATAGAGGAAAAACTCCCTGGGATTAAGATCTACCTCATTTAAAGGGTAGCTTAATTTACTTATAATTCTTCCTGTTGGCAGGAATCCTCTTCTAACAGTCAAATTAAGTGTCTTCTTCCCTGACAAAGAGTAAATAACAACTCACTTGGCTTAACTACCAAAGCAAATAAATAACAGTTTTAGCCTGACTTATTCCTGAAATTATTCCTTAAACAGGCCTATCTATTTAGTAGCAGGAACGAGAATGAAGAACTCCTTGAAAGAAGTGAGTCCGGGCTTACCTTCAAGTTCTGCAGCTTCTCGGGCTTCACGTTCTAGACGCTGCCTAAGTAGCTCCTGCTGTTTTTCCAGATACTGTTTTATGAAACTGTTCTGGCTCATTTCCTCGCCAATCTGTGTAGAAGACATGGAAAAAGAAAGTCGAGGAAAGCAAACCAGGAAAATACAAGGAAGAAAATTCCATGGAGCAGAAGTCTACCCCTTATATTTGAACCCAAGAAAGATAATCAAAATATTGGAAGGCCTTTTTCTAATTATGGTGAGGACCAAAATAAATAACCCTATGATTCAGAAAAGATGGTAAAAAGAGGAACTGCACATAATTTATCTTGAATATTTAGTTCCCAACCAAAGAGTGATGCCCAAATTAAAATCAAAATTCCTGCAAAATATTATGCCTTTTAATCTAAGTTTTTAATCTAAAATATTATCTAAAGATAATCTAAGTTTTTTTAGTAATATCAAAAACTGAAAGGAAAAAAACACTAGTTCCAACTAGGTCTTTTTTTGTTGATTAAAAAAGGTAAATTTCCACCAATCCAGGGATCATTTTGTTAAACTCTAAAATTTACAAACTATGTAAGCGAGAGATTAAGAAAAGGGATGTCAAATCATCATTTAAACAGAGTTTTAACTCCTATTTTTGGGGTGGGAAGACTTGGTAACAATATTTAAAATCCAGGAGCTTAATCCCTTCCCCCATTTTTTTCTGTAACACAAGTCTCACATCACTCTTCTGTCACAAGTCCTTCCCAGAACCTTCTAGCTTATTAAGTCCTACCAGAATGCCCAAAAAGGGAAAAAAATCTGAATAAATATTGTTTGTTTTTAGTCATCTTTCTAAAGCATGGCAAATGTTTATTTTCACTTAAAGTAGGGATGAATGGGGCGCCTGGGTGGCTTAGTCGGTTAAGCACCCGACTTTCGCTTAGGTCATGATCTCGCAGTTCGTGGGTTCGAGCTCCGTGTCGGGCTCTGTGCTGACTGCCAGCTCAGAGCCTGGAGCCTGTTTCAGTCTGTGACTCCCTCTCTCTCTGACCCTCCCCTGCTCACGCTATCTCTCTCTCTCTCCTAGAAATAAATAAAACATTAAAAAAAAAAAATAAAGTAGGGATGAATCTCTTGGTACTCAGTGGACATTGATGAAGTGTGGGTTGTATTTATTAGAGAACGTATGCATTTACCGCAAAAATACTATGTTAATAAAGCAAAGCTTCAAAGATTAAAATGCAATGAACAAATGGAATATAATCATAAGCTGATTAATTCATATGGTTTCTTATGCTTATATTTAACTAAACTTCCTTAAACAGACTAGATTATGACATAGCTTAATAAAGTGATAACAAGGGAGTAGGAAGGCTCTCTTGTTTTTCCATAGTATCTTGGGACTTCATCTAGTACTGGAGCTGCACAACAGCACTAACAAAGACCTAGATGTTCCCTTTAAGTGCACAACATACTATGATGAGGGGATTTTAAAAGCTGAAACGAATCTCATGAAATCGCAGTCTAAGAATTTTATTTTTTCGAGCTGTGGAATTATTTCTTCTAAAAAAATCTTATGCTGAAATTAAATATACAAAACAGATAAAAGATCGACTTTGGTTAGGAGGGGAGTGTGAGCACCTGCTCCCTTGGGAAAAAAGGTTATCTTCCCCAGAAATCCCCCAAAAGCAGCTCTACAAAACTAAAGCAGAGCAGTTATAAAACTATGGATATAGTCCAACCTTTCTTCATATTATACATAGGAACTGAGGAATCCAAGGCCTCCAAAGGTTATGTTTCTTGCCCTAAGTAACAGACTAATTAATGATGTTTAGAAGTAAGTGCATAGTTAGCATTAACGCTAGTAATGGTGGATGATTTCCAAAGGATTGAATTCTTGGAAAATCTATGTCAACACAAGAATTCTTCTTGATCAGCAAGTATTATCCTACACTGCCCTATTGATTGTCTACCTCATATCTTCATTCAAAGACATCAACTACTTTCCCCAAATCAATGACAAATGAATGACTTCAGATTCTTGTACTACACTTAATCAACTGGAACATCTTTTTTTGCAAGCACCAGAAAGTAATTAATAGCTCTTCTAATTCTGTTTCTGAATTCTTTACTAGAATTCAACTGGTCTGATATGAGGACTTTTCCAACCCAGGGAATTTAGAAAAATACTGGTGAGGAATTAAGCATCAAATATACATCATCGTGTCCTTCCATATGTCTGTACATCCAAAGATCCCACCCTATCTAATAAGCCTTTTTTCTTACCTGGGAATTTGGCTGGAATGCGGCATGGGGTGTTGAGTGTTTCTGTAAATTTTCTAGCATTAGAGCCTGGTATAGAGAATGACAAAAGTCAGAAACTAGGGGGAAAAAACCCACCACTCCCCAATCTCTTCATTGAATGCAATGACTAACCGTACACACTTAAACTGTACTCCTTTTCCAGGAACGAAATCCCTTTACTAATACTGTTCTTACTCATCTTCAGAAGACCCTTAAAAGTAGCCATGGTTACTGGTCCCAAATGTACAAATGTAAAATGCAGGCACATGGAGAAAACAAGCGACCTGGCTATGTAATAAAATCAGTGACAGTGACAGAACCGTACTACAATTTCTATTATCTACTGCACTTCTGACTAATGTCCTTTCTAAACCTGGCCATGCAGATAAAATGACTTCAAATACTCAAGTCAGCTTCAAATACAGGAAACCAACATGGGGCTGCTGGGTTTGGCTTGATTGAATTACTTGGTCAGTTACCCAGGGCTAGATCTACTTGAGTGAATCTGTATTGTTTCCAACAGAGTGGCACCTAGATTTATCAAGTCTATAAACATTTCAAAAAGGAGACTATAGAACAAAATGACCACAGACTCTAAACTGTGGCTGACCCAATCCACACACATGAAACCGTCAGCTCTGTACAGGCAGGCAACGGTCTGTCAATTCAACCCTTGAGCCAACTCAGCCCTAATATGCACTACAGACCATGTATCCTAATTAACCCCAATTAAAACCAAAAGATCCTCACCTTGCCTCCGTTTACACCAAATCTATACACACAAATCCATCCATCTCATGACGATCCCACCACCCTAAACTACTCAAATCGATTCAAAACCCGCAACATATACCAACCTGCCCCACCTCTCTCACCAATATTCACCAAACTCTTATCCACCCAAATCGCTTCGGAATAAATTATACACCGCTCCACAACCGAGTCCCTTCAAATCAAGGTCTCGCTTCATCTCACCTCCTAATCTAATCAGGGGGATATTTTACCCTGTCCCAATTCTATTCTTTCGGATACCGACACCAGCCCCATTAACCCCTCCGCCCAACTGTACCCCTAACTCTGACCCAGCCCAATTCGCCCCCCTCAGGCCAGCAACGCCGGTGGTAGTAGTGGGATTTAACTCCTTCAGCAGCGCATGCGCCGAAACCACAGACACAAACAAGGAGGGGGTGGGGGAAGGAGGAAGGAGCTTAAGACACTCCGGGAGAGTAGCGCGCACCCTCCCGTTTTGGGCTCGCGCTGCTGCCGTTAAGGCGGGAACGGGCGCTATCTCTATTCCAGCGCGAGCCTCACCAACCACCGTGCGCGCGGATCCGGAGGCTCGCGCTGGCGGCCTGAGCGAGCTCGCGCGGAGCCCGGACACTGCGCCTGCGCCGCGGCAGAGACTCGTCTCTACCGGGTCCGCTCCCCTCCGACACCCCGGCAACGCCGTCTCCTCACCCCTTTGAGCCGCTTGACCAGGGCACTCTTCTGCCCGCTCTTGGCTAGGCCTCGCTGCTCCAGTGCGGCCTTCAGGTCGGTCACCCGCAGCGCCTGAAGAGGCTTCCCGTCCAGAGTCACCTCCTCCAGCTCCGCCATCTTGCGTGAGGTACTCGGGTCCGTCCCGACGGCTTCGGGCATCTTCGGTAATTTCCGCCAACGCCCTTCGAACGGACCGAGCTGACCCCGCCCACTGCCATAGTCAACCCCTCGATTACCACTCAGAACTCCCCGGGTTCCTCCGGAACAGCTCGGATATTTCCGTCTCCACATCGGCACCAATCAGTTCTTCCCATCCTCCCGGCCGCTCCCCCTCCCTCACCCTGGTTTCAGAGCTCGGTTATCTTCGTCTTACCGAGGCTGTGAATCGAATGTACTCGGAAGCCTTCGACTCTGGCTAACCAAAATCGGAGTTACTCGGCTATCTCCGAACCTAAGACTGAGGCGCTGAGGCGCTTGGGTGTTTGGGGGCCCGATCCGGGACCGGAAGTGCGTGGGCTGCCGGACTGGCGCTGCTTAGGGTTTTCAGGAAACATGGAAGCGGCGGCGACAGTTGGAGTTTAAGCACTTTGTGACGGTCTCCAGGTGCCCTGTGAGAGGAAAGGGGAGGTAAGCGGGGGTAGAAGTCCCTCCCTGGGCCGGGTCAGACTCGGCGGGTGTTTGCGGGTTACCCTAGTAGGGCACACTTCCCACTCTCCTACGGGTACAGCTGCCGCCTCCCAGTCTTTGAATCCCCGCCACTCCCATCTAAGGCTACGTTGCTATTTGGGATCTTAGAATGCCAGGCTCCGTGGCCTCCAAAGTGAGCAAGTGGCGGCACCGTGTCTTTGGGACGAAACTGAACTAATTCAAAATCATTGAACTTGAGTTTGCTGGGAAGGCCGTGTCGCAAGACTCGGCTAGTTTTTCCTTTCCCCGAGTAAGAAAGTTTCTTTAGGATTAGGAGCTTTGTAGGAGCGCTGTGAAAAAGGCTCCCTCCCTGTACTGTTTGGGCACGGAACCGATGTTAATTGCTTAGGGATTCCATTCTTTGTCATACGAAGACTCCAACTTGCAGCAGAAGAAACACAAACAGTAAAATAGGTCGTAGGCAAATAGTTTAAAGTCTTCGTTGTTAGAAATTCAAACTGGAACTCGAAACCTATGCAAGTCGACTGACCTTTCGTTTGCATTACTGATGCAAATCAATGACAGGGCATCGATAGGTATTATAAATTCAACCTTAAGGAAAAATTTCAAAGACATAAAATTGTATCTACAGCAGTTTTTTTTTTCATTTTTAATTTTTTTAATGTTTTATTTATTTCTGAGAGACAGAAAGAGACAGCGTGAGCAGGGGAGGGTCAGAGAGAGAGGGAGACACAGAATCCGAATCAGGCTCCAGGCTCTGAGCTGGCTGTCAGCACAGACCGCGACGTGGGGTTCGAACCCAGGAACTGGGAGATCATGACCTAAGCTGAAGTCGGACGCCCAATCCACTGAGCCACCCAAGTGCCCCATCTATAGCAGTTTAATGCTTGTCATACTCCTAAGCCATCAAACCAACTAGACGTTTTTCAGTCTTGAAAAAACACTTGGCTTCTATTTTTTCCTTTCTGTGTTATCTTATTTTGGGTGAGGCACTGTCACTTACTCTGCTCTTTAATTTTTCCTGATGCTTTAACAAGAAATAAAAGGAAGTAATGGATGTTACGAAGTTTTTGGCATATTTCAGAGGCTATGTGCACATTACAAAGAAGACTCATCATTTATGACTTTTTACTGTTAAAAGCTCTGGAATTATCAGTACCTAGGCCCTCACCAGCTGCATGTACTAGATTAAAAAAAAATACGCACCTCTTTTCATTTTAAGGAAGATGACGTGGACCAACACCATTTTTCTTTACTCAACCTGGAACACAGAAGTAGGCCAGAGAGAGTGAGCAAGAAATGTGTTGGTTATTTTTAGATTCTTTATAAGAGTAATGGAGAGAAGCAGTGGTTGGGGAAGGCACTGGGTTTGAAAGAGTGGGAGGTTGGCAAATATGAAATGAAGTTATTTTGGGGTGACTTTTCTAAGGTAATTGGATAATAACCTATATGAAGTGCTGTTGTTTTCCTGTAAGTTGAATTGGTGAGAAATAATTTGATCTGTAGATGCTGATTTTTGATAAGATTCCTTGTTGGGAAGTTGTATTTTGGTTGCCCTATCTGGAGAGTATATAACAGTGCTTTTATTTTTCAGGATGCCAGTGGAATCATCTTCCTCTTCGATGCCACTACCCTTCCCTACTCCTTTACCCTCGGTACCAGACAGTGTTACTAACTCTTCCCCTCCTCCAATGTCTTACATCACTTCCCAAGAGATGAAGTGTATTCTTCACTGGTTTGCCAGTTGGTCAGGTCCCCAGCGTGAACGTTTCCTACAGGACCTGGTAGCTAAGGCAGTGCCGGGAAAATTACAGCCACTGCTGGAAGGCCTGGAGCAGCTTAGTGTGTCTGGAACAAACCGACCACCTTGTATCTTTGAATGTCAACTACGTCTTTGGGATCAGTGGTTTCGAGGTTGGGCTGAGCAGGAGCGCAATGAATTTGTCAGGCAGCTGGAGGTCAGTGAGCCAGACTTTGTGGCAAAATTTTACCAAGCAGTGGCTGCTACAGCTGGTAAAGACTGATGGGCATTAAAATCAAAGAAGATAATCATCTCTGATGGAGCCACAACTTTACAGTGGAACTTCAAATGTGTCACTTAATGGTCTAGGGATGGTGTCTTGATGAGCTGACTGAACATGTTGACTAGGACAGGCTTGGCTATTTCAGTGTTAATAGCCTGTCAACTGGATTCCCAGCAGAAATGTTTTCAATCTAAGTAAATCCAGATCAGTGGGCCTCCTAGCTTGCATCTTTCTGCATGTCAAACCCTCAAGAATTCAATGGCTTCTTTTGGGAGTATAACCAAAAGGAACCTATACATTATAACCCAAGCCTATTGCTGGCCCATGAGGCTATAAAGTAGGTCTTCTTGCTCCAGAAACAGGAGAGAAGGACCATAAAAGGTCATGTTTTTATATAAAGGGATTCAGGTGGCTGATTTTTACCACTCTTACCAGGTTCTGGCATAATTATGTGACATCCCAACTGTTAGTCTTCCTAGTGATGATTTTGTAAGATTATGGGAAAGCCAGGAGAGGGAGATAATTACTCCTTCCATGCTAATGTTTGTTTGAATCCAAATAGCCATGGCTTTTTCTAAAGCATATGTGTTATCCTTGGAGCTGGTAACAGATACCTGTCCTTTAAGTTTGCTCTTCAATATGAAAACAAGTGACAATTTTTACAGGTTGAAGTGTTTATTTTTTGTATCGAAATAAAGAATCTTCAGAACCATAAGTCTGGCATTTTTTCATTACAAGGCTGGAATAAGGTTGATACATGGAGAAAGAGGCGTTCTGAGAAAAGTATAGACTTTCCATCCAGTTGTCTTCCAAGAAATAATCTGCCCTATCTACCCTGTCATAGTCTGGGTAATATCACACCTCTCTTATTCCTTCAGCTGGGCCCCTTGTGTCTTGGAGCTCTGGTGAATGGTGAGGGGCAGATGGTGCCACCTGAAGAATAGCTCTTTTCTGATAGGCCATGGTTCCCAGTGTACCCACCAGGATAAGCAGAGTTAGGCAGACCCCCACGGACAGCCCTAGATGAGTCATGGAGGAATTACGGTCCAAGGTAACCAGCGACCTAGGAACATAGAGGTAATATTTGGCTTGGAATAATGCTCAGGTTTAGGAAGTAAAGGGCTTTACCCCTATAATACACAGAGCTCATGAAAGCCTGCTTCATCCAATCAACTACACAGGAACTCAGAGGAATATAGAACCTGAAAGTAGGAAAAACACCAAGATCCAAGTCTCCTAGCAACTTAAATTTTTGGAAGGAGACCTAACGGCAGTGAGGGAAATGGCTCAAGGAAAGGGTTAGATTATGGTGTTTAGGTAACTAATACAGTAGCCTGTTAATACATTAGGAAGGAAGAGGACTAGGATCCCGTGTCCTACAGATGAGGAACTCCATTATTGGAGGAAAGGTGTCACATGGTGATAGGTCTGAGGTGATCACACTGGTATTCCGAAATAACCCATATGAGCGAGTGCTTAATGCAATTTCAAACATCTGGACTTTAGGAATTTGAAAGAAAGCTACTTAGTATTGTCTTACTTGCTGTGTTCTGTGGTAAAGCTGGCTCCTCCATAATACACTTCTAGGGGCTGCTGCTTGAGACTCAGGGCCAGGGCCCTGTGTAGCATACCAACCGAGGGCCCATGGCAGCCAGAGGACTTCCACATGTACACAGTGAACACCAGACCAGTGGTAGTGGAGGGGCTGTGGAAATAGCACCTACAGGGACATTTGGATCTCTTAAGGGAGGTAGAGTCCCCGGAAGAGTCTATCTCCTGAAACAGGTGCAGGCTTAGGAATGGGACAAAGTCTTCAGAGGAGATGGTGAAGTAACCGACTTAAGCAGTCCCCCTGGCCTGCTGTATAAATCCCCAGTCTGAACTGTCCCTTTACCTGCCAGCGGGTTCTCTGCTCACCAGAGCCTGTAGTACGGCTTCAGTCAGCTCTTCTAGTGTTTCCTTCCCCACAGAGTGGCCTGGGGGCCCAGCTAATTGTAAAGAGAGATAGAATAACAGGTCTTGGGTGGAAAGACTCACAGGTGGGGAAGTAACAGCATTGGTACCTTCATTCGTCTGACACAGCCGACCCCAGGGACAGAAGAGAAGACCATAGTACCCAGGTATCTGCAAGGAAATACATCGCAGGGCATAGTTATGACCTCAATTGTTTGCTCAAGCCCTTCTTCTAAGGGGATTGTACAATCTACATCAGAGTCACAGACTCAATGGGTACTCAGATAAAAATGAACATCTGAGTAGGTTGGATAGTACTACCAAACAAGCACTTTCAAACTTCCGTTTGCCAAGGGACTACATAGCTTTTCACTTATGATACCCACCTGAATAGCGTTTCCAGGAAGGCATGAGGCCCAGGGTGATCCCTCTACCTGCACCTTGTATGCTCCCCTCTCTGTGCATTGATGTAAGTAGCAGCGGCCAGTCAGCTCAGCTTCCTTCAGGTATGAGATCTGAGAGAGCTGCCTGGTTTTGTCCCCATGGAGCAGTTGTGAAGAGAGGTTGGCAAGGAAGCAACGACTCTGGGAATGGTAAATTTCCCCATGGGGGTTGTCTGCCCCAGGTGGGAATCCATTTTCCTTCTTCCAGCATTCACTCTGAAGGGTGGGACAAGAGGGAGAATAGTGTTTGTCTAGATGCCGTAGATGTTGACTCCTCTCCATGCCCACTCACTTCCATTCTCTCTTCTCCAGTGGTCTCACCCCATTGGCCAAGGGCTTGAATATGCGGCAGCCTTCCAGAGCAGGGTCTGAGGAACAGCTTCCCTTGTCCAGGTGCAGGTAGTGGCAACCCAGTCCGCTGTGTGGAAGGGATGGCAGCTGACACTAGGATCCCTCACAGCTGTATGGCCCCTCAACCACTCAGCACACACACCTGCCTGTACAGAAGAAGTCTGAGGAGTCAGCCCCGCATGTGGTCACCAGGCCAAATTCCAGGCCAGATCCTGCTTGAGAGGTGGGAAGAGAGAGAGCACCCTCAGAACAAGTGAAGCCCCCAACACCCCTCAGCACTGACCATGCTTATGCTTTGGCTACACCCCTTCCAACCTCTCTCACTGCCCCCAAGCTGACTCGGGGTGGTGAGTGTGCCTCTGCAATTCTCTCTTGTTCTCACCCCGGCCCCACAGCAGCTCCTCTGCAGCGCTGTGGTTGACTTGGTACCAGCCTGAATCTTTGAAGGCAGCAAGAGTGATGGGATCGAGTCGAGTGCGCCGGGCACCATCGAAGGTAGCGGTCATTACAGAACCCTGGAGCAGTCGGGCCTCCCAGTGTGAAGACAAAGGGCCCTAGGGAAGAGGTAGCCGGTTGCCACCTGGTGACTCCCTCTTCCTTCCAGCACCCCGAGATGTTCTCAGTCTCACCTCTTCTTCTAAGGGAACACCCAGTGAAGCCCCTAGCACTCCCAAGTGTTTGGCCAGGCTGTGGCTGACAGCTGGGGTGGTCAGAAGCAGCTGTCCCCACTCATCTCGTCTTGTGACTTGTTGTCTTGTAGAACAGTTCTCTGGAACTGAGCGCAGAAAGGGAAGAAGGCAATATGAGGAGAGGAAAACGTAGAAAGGGTGGAGCAGAACTGGAAGGAAAGAGTTGGAGGGACGGTAGTGATCCCCTCTCGTTGACATTCCTCTCATTTACCCCTGGGGCCTGAAGGGCAATCCCGCCACTTCTTGAAGAGCTGTCCAGAGAAACCCAGAGCATGGAGCAGTTCATGTAGTGTGGCCTAAGGATAAATGACCGCATGGTGAGGGGACTGGGTGTGGAGCAGATTGACGGGCCACTCCATAGCCCCTCTGCCCAATCAGCTCTTCTTAGAGTTTGAGGCACTTTCTCCTCCAACCTTAATAGATTCTTCCACTTCATGGGAAGCTAAGTGACCTGCCCCCTTTCCCCAACCTGTTTGCATCTTCCTATTTATCATGCAGTAGTCACCGTGACGATGTCACTATGGCTGAGTCTGGGGCTGGCGAGATGTTGGGCACAGTAGACAATGGTACCAGCAAGGGGTCTGTCTTCTGAGTCCAGCTGGCAGCAGGCAGCATAGGCTATGATAGAAGGCTGTGGATGGGCCAGGAAAGGTAGAGGTGGAAAGCAGGGATGTGGGGGAACATAGAAGAAATCTTCTTGAAAATAGACACTCATGGAACTCAACAGGGATGGTCCCAAGGGATGGCATGAAGGGGTTTAACTCCCACCCAAACTTCATCAACATGACCCAAGTTACCTCAAATAAGCACAATTTAATAAAAATTGCTTTTATGCTCCCTACCCCCTTCCTAGGATATTTAAGATTAGGAGAGGAAGAACAGGGAAAAGGATTTGATTAGGGCCTCACCTCTCCATGGCACTTGGAAGTGTGGGCAACCCGCACATACAGGAGAAAATCAGTGTTTTGGACCCCAGGCCCATCTGGCTGGACCAGTTGTGGGGGACCCTGCTCTGGCCACAATGCATAACCACGGAGATGGGCATCAGGGATCTGGTGGGGAGTGGAAAGCAGCATCTAGTTTAGCAGATGAGGACAATAGGAAACTGGTACTAGGAGTGAGGAGTGGACAGTCTCTATCTTTAGTCTGCCCTAGTGTCATGTAGGCAGCTGGTCAGAATAAGGACTCCTGCTACCTTTCCTCCCCATCTCTGATTTTGTAAATTGCCAGGGTGAGAAGGGGCTTAGGAATATGCATTTGTTAGGAAGGACATTACGCAATTTTGGTACTAATAATGGTCTTGGAGAAGTCTAGGCAGGCCAAAGATCTTCAGGTCCCCCCACATCTCACCTTTACTCCCAGGCAGCTCTCTCCTTTGTACTCTGGGTTCAAGAGGCTGCACCTGCCAAGAATGAATACCTGTAGGTGAGCTGGAGACATTTGTGGGTACCCCTGAAGAGGCACTGTATACATTCTCAATGACCTGAACTCACTTGTGGTAGTTTGGGGTGTCTGGATCTCCCCAGACAGCATGGCAGTACTGTGCAGGGTCTCGACTCAGAAGCAGGGGCCCTTGCACTGGAGGGACTTAAAAAGACAAGAGGTCAATTTCACCTCAACATCTTTAGAGTTCCTTTTCTCTGGCTGTCCTCCTCTGTAGCCCTCTGCCCCTCAGCCCTATCTGACTCCCTTTGGTTCCCCCACTTACCTGCAAGGACACCCTGGAGTCGCCTAGCCGCCTGTCTAGCAGCCACCAGGGCTCGAGGTTCCCCTCTCATTCTGACTCTCTCAGGATCCCAAACTCCATCTGATACAGGATCTCTGATATAGCAGGTTTGGATCCTCAGGGGTTGAGGATCACGAGAGCCACTGTGATTGAAGGAGGAAGAGCGGAAGTCTGGGGCATGTTGTGGGAGAGGGGGCCTGAGCAGGCTCACAGACTTCTGTGTCTCATCGTGGAGGCATCTGCTTGTGGCACTTCCCAGGAACAGCAGCAGCAGCAGCAGCAGCAGCAGCAGCATCTCGCAAGTGGCTCCTCCTAACCCTCCCTGGATCCTGTCTTCTGCTCCTCTCTTCCCTGCCTCACTTACTTCTGGCTTTCCTCTCTTTACTACCTCTCTCCATACCCTCTCCACCACTCCTGCCCATATTTTAAAAAAGATTCTAGTATTGTTGACTAAATCTACAGTTACCCCCAGGAGGCCGGATGTGAACCACAAAGACAAAAGCTCCTTACCGCCCCCCCCCCGGGGGTGGGGGTGCCAGAGTGGAGAGCTGGGGGGCAGGGAGGGGCAGTGTTATTCCTAAGGCCTCAACTGATCTTTCCAAAGAGGAGCCTGCCCCATCTGGGAGCCCTTCCTAACCCTCTTTCATCTCTCACCCTAATTCCCCTGCCTTTCTGAGTGGACAACCTTCCCAGAACTAAAAAAAATGGTGTTAATACAAGGGTGGGGGGGGGGGCACTCTGTGCGTCACAGATGCCTACTTATCTCAGTGGGGATGGGCAAACAAGGCTTCTGCATGGCACTAGCCCCGATATCAGAACTGGGTGGACTCTAACTAGACTGCAAGACTTTTAGGCATCACCCCCATCCGTGTAGAGTACTTAGTAGGCGCTTAACAAGCACATGTTGGTTGACTGACACCTCCTAGGAGAGGCTATTGTGTTAGCTCTGTGAGGCTTCACAGAGAGGCATGCTGCGAGGGAAAGTCAACTGGAGAAGATGTTCAAAGATGTTCTCACCAGCTCTTGAAGGTCCCTCTGTTTTCTTTGCTCACGCTGTGCTTTCACATCCTGTTTCCCCTGCTCTCCTTCCCTTCCCGCCTGGTTAGTTCCTACCTCCCCTATAATTACTCTGGGAAGCCTTTCTTACTTAACACCTCCTGCCCAAATTCCACACTCTCAGGAGGGGAGGAGGCCCACTTCACACAGGAGCAGCTTCCCTTCCCTTTACGTTCACATCCTCCACTCCTGCAAGGTAAGCCTGCTTCCTGACTGGCTTTGTAGTCACAGCACAGTCCTGAGGGCCTAGTCATCTGCCCGTGTTGTGGATGAAGGAACAGAACCTAACCCCATTGTTTAACTTTTGAGGAAACTGGTCAGGGGTGACATGACATAAAGCAACACAGCTAATTCCTGACAGGATGAGAGTTTCCAGAAGGGCTGCTGACTTCCTCAGGAGGCTGGACTCGATACTTTGACACACCACAGCTGTGGCTGGAATGGCAGTTACAAAGGGAGGCCACAAAATGCTGGAGCCAGACCAACTCTGCTACTTTCTACCACGTAACTTTGGCCCAATGCCTCCGTGTTCCCATTTGCAAAAGGAGGATGATTGTACTTACCTGACAAGGTTGCTCTGAGGAGAAAGCAAAGATTTGTAAAGAGCTGAGAACAGTGTCCACGCTCGTGGTAAATACCAAGTCGCGTCAAAGGTACATATTCCAGAGACACTTCCAACTCACTGGAGACCCGTTCTGTTCTTATCAGCATGTGTACAAATCTTTAGGGGACTCTTGTTCTTTTTCTAAGACAAACCCTACTCTGCACGTTGTCAGACTCCCTCTTTTCTGGCCTGGCAGCCCATTTGGGGAAAATCCTGGTGGTGAGGCTTGGAGCAAGGGAGTCAAGGTCCAAGTGGCTCTCTGTTTTCCGGCCCCTCTGCAGCCACTCCTGATACTTTGGTGCCCCCTTGTGGCCGTGCATAGGAGGAGCGCCCCCACCAGAGCCGGGGTTCATCCTAACTTCACACATGCATGCAGAACTTCGTACCTTCCACCAGAAACCGCACAAGAAACACCTCATGTTTCTTCCGCTGGAATACCTCTTTCCTGGCTTTGCCTGGCACATTCCTCCCCATCCTCCTAGAGCCAGCTGAGAGGGCCCGCCTGCTGAGTTTTTTCTTTACTCCCCCACGCAGAGGTGGTTGCATAGCCTCTGTTCTCCAATAATGGCTCTTGCACGTCTAGCGCTTATTATATTCTCCTGACATTTATTTCTGTGCTCATTCTCCTGCTAGACTGTGGGCAGGGGCTGAGTCTGATTCGCCTGTGCCTCTTTGAAGAGGTGTGAAGTAGGCACAGAGGGATAATAGAGGTGGGAAGGTGGCTGGGAGGAGAGAGAGGAGGTAAGGAGAGAGGGTGAGAATAACAGTCATTTGAGCATTTTCTTTGTGCCCAGACATCTTCCAAGAACTTTAGACTCACGTTTTCCTTCCAGCAACCTTCCAGGGTAGGTATTATTATAAAATACCTCAATTTTACAACCGAGTGACAGCAAAATCAGTCACGTGAGGAGGTGGCAAACGTGGGGTTTAACCCACTATGCAACAGTGTTCTCAAGGCCATAGCATGATCGTGATCAATTGGGGGGGGCAGGATGAGAAAGAGGGGGGCAAGGAGAACAGGTGGAGATTGGGGGGAAGCAGTGTAGGAAGAGGATGAGGCGTGGGAAAGGGTGGGGCAGACCCCAGAGAGGAAGAGGTGAGAAGAGGGTGCAGAGGGAGGAAATTAGGGACTGGGAGGGAGGGTGCTGAGGAGGAAGGGGTGTGGGAGAGGATGGGGCTGAGCAGAGGATGTCTGGGTGGTGGGGTTGCCTGTGTGGATGCTCCGTCCAGCACCCTGACCTCTCAGTTCCTTCCCCTGCCCGTCTCTAACATTCTCCATTCCACCTTCACAAGCCACTTCCAGGAGCCTTATCATCACCAGAAACTGCAGCACCTATGAAATAACTGAATCAAACATCGTGCTCTCTGATATGATCTCCTTTCCTTACGGTTTGTTTGCTCAAGTCGCTTACTGCAGCTGTTCTAGGGGCTCATGGAAGAACCGCTGGCCTTTCCTGTCATTTCATCTTCAGCCTTGGGTTCCATGCTCATCACCAAATCCTTCCCTCAAAGGTGCCCCCAAGCCCCCTTCACTGCCCATGCTGTCCATCCTGCCTCCCAACTTTGACTTCTCCACCCTTGTGCCCAGCAGCTAAGGGCCACCGAGGGAAATCACCCAAGAGAATAGCCTGTTGTCACTTCATTGTCATCATCGACTTCAACAGCACCGTCTCCGGTCAGTCTCAGTCCTCTTTCCTCTCAGCACCTGGGTCTTTACACCTTGGAGCCTGCTTCTCAGAGCCTCCTGCTTAGCCGCTGGCAGTCACCTCTTCTCATGATGAAAACAGAACTGGCCACAGCCTGCTACGTCCTACCTGTGTCTGTGTCTGCTGCTGGCCTGCTGTCCCTTCTTTCTCCTTAGAGGAGAGGAAATGTCCTCCTCCTTTGGGAGGTGGGTCTTCCATCTGATGCTCCAGATCTCTTCAGATGGAGATCTGGTCTCAGCCCCTCTCTGACTTGGTCTGTCCCCCAGCCACTGTCAGTGACCAAGAAGGACCTGGCTGGGGCCTTGGGGTACATTTCTCCATCTGCTGGGAACCTCTGCTCTTCGCCAGACCGACTTCTCACCTTTACGTATCTGCATGTTACTTCCTTGAAAAAGCCTTGCCTGACCTTCAGGTGCCCTTCCTAACATCCGTCCCAGTGGCCCCTTTACTTTTGCCACACAGCACTGCCCATGTAGAGTTATCAATTTATTTATTTTATTTTATTTATTTTTTAATGTTTATTTCTGAGAGAGAGAGAGAGAGAGAGACAGCATGAGCAGGGGAGGGTCAGAGAGAGAGGGAGACACAGAATCTGAAACAGGCTCCAGGCTCTGAGCTGGCTGTCAGCACAGAGCCCGATGTGGGGCTCGAACCCACGAACCGTGAGATCGTGAGCAGAGCCGAAGTCGGACGCTTAACAGACTGAGCCACCCAGGTGCCCCTGAGTTATCAATTTATTTGTGGTGTTACGAATGTCTGCCCCCTCATGAGTCTCTAAGCCCCATGAGGGCTGGGACTGTTCTCCTTGTGTATCCTGTAGCTTCTAGAACAAGCAAAGTGCCCAGCTTGGAGTAGGTGTTATAAGTATTCTTCGAGCATATGAATACATAAGTGGGTGTGGTGAGGAGACAGGAGGGATGTGAGGGGGCAGGAAGGATGGGGATTGGAAGATGAAGAGAGCAGATGACCAGTGCGGGGACAGGGTGATAGCTAGGGATGGAGCGGAAAGGTAGGGAGGGGAGGCCCAGGCAGAAGGCATCTCTGTGCTGGGCCTCAGGGAGGCTTCCTGGGAGCTGTGTCTCTGGGCCATGCTGCCTGAGAGGTCTGCAGGCAGAGCCAGTGGGCGGGGCTAGACTTTATCTTGGGGCGCAGTCCTAACCTCAGATGGTGACAGAGCAGGAGCCAGCAGGGGTTTTGCAAACCGTCCCGATTGCAGCAGGCCAGCAGTCTCGCTCTGGAGGGCGGGTGGGGCCTGGGCTTATCTCCCGAGGACAGTCTTAACCTCAGATGGTGACAAAGGGGGAGCTAGCAGGCGTTTTGCAAACCGTCCCGATTGCAGCAGGGCTGGATGGCCTGGCCAGGGGCAACAGTGCTAGGTGTGGGGGGCAACAGAGGGTTGGACAGTTTGGGGCCGCGGGATGAAGTTTGGCTGGTGGGGTGGGGGGGTGGGGATCCATACTCCGCACGGCTTGCCTCTAGCTACCTTAGATCTCTGTTTCTCAAACCAAAGGCGAGGCTACAGCTCGGTAGGTGGGGCTCTCCCTGTTAGGGAACCTGGCTGTTTCCAAGTCCTAGGACCCTTGGGCTACTTCCGGAAGTCAGAATTGATGGCCAGTTGCAGCCATTCCCACCATGTCCCCAGCAGGGTAGCCTCAGGGAATTTCTCATAAGCCGATGAAGTTTCTCTGGGGCAGGGCCTGCTTATAGGAGTGGCCAATAGAGGACCATCAGGAGTCCTGTCCAAGTTAAACCATTCCCACTTGGGAACAGCACAGGCTGAGAAGAGAGGTCTGCTTGCTGGGGGCCAGCGAGGGTGACAGGAAGTGACTGGCCTGTCAGAGAGGAGGTGCACAGGCCCTCAGCCAGCCCTGGCTATTGTTGCCTCAGCATCTCCTATACAGCCCCCTGCATCCCATAGCCCCCTCCCTGGCTGGTGCAGGGTAGGGGTGGAGGTGAAGAGGCCCCTTTCCACCCCCACAACCCCAACCGGGATCTTGCAACACTGGGATGGGGGCCCTGGGGGCCCAGGCATGTGGCAATCCATGGGGGGTGGGGTGGGGAGGTGTGCACTGAGCAGGGGAGCAGCTTTCACAAGCAGCCACTGCAGGACTGACCTTGGCTGGGCTCACCTTGGGCAGCTTCCTCTCTCTCTTCCCGGTATCACCAAATAGGCTTCTTTCTCCTCAGCCGTTTCCCGGGGGCCTGAGGTCCTGTCTCACAGCTCAGCACTCTCATCCTGGTCTCCAGTTCAGCTCGTGAAGGAAAAGTGGGCCTGAGCCCACTGCGGAGCCTAAAGCAATGGGAACACACGTGTGAGCTGCTTGGACCTTGATTTGCTGGTTTCTTAAAGTCACCGCATCCTGAGGACTAGCACTTCTTTCTGCCTCTTCTTTCCCTCAGAAAAGGGGGTGAGGGTGGGTTGGAAAAGGGGTTGGGTGCTGGATGCTTGCTCTCTGTGACACCTCAGTTTCTTAGGGACTGTCCTGTCCCACAGAGGGAATGGAAAGAGAATGCTATGCAATTCCATTCTAGACGGAGGGAGGTGTTTTCCTGCTTATCCCTTTCCTCCTTTCCGTTCAGCCAGCCTCACGTGGCTTTCTTTCTTTTTCTTGATCACCCGGACATCTTAGCACCTTCGCCTTTGCTCTCCCCTCTGCCAACCCTTCTGCCCCAATGTGGCACATCTGCCTCCTCCTTGACATGTTTTCAACTCCAGTGTCACTTTCTCAGAGAAGCCTTCCTTGACCACCCCAACTAAAATAATCCCCCTTCCTGCTTATTTATTTGGTTCCCCCAAATGGAGTTATTAATGGATTGACCAAAGGTGTTTGTAAAGGTGTGACTGAATGGGATTAACAGAGCCTGCAAGATGAAGAAACCGGCTCGCTGCAGTGGGGGGTTATTACAGCCCCCAGGGCCACCAGAGCAGGGATCCTGTGGAGGAGAGCAGTGGACAGTACTTGTCCCCCACTGGAGAGAGTTGGGGAATAAGCACCCAACTTTGCCCTCCTGCTGCCCTCCAACGCCCCGTCATGCCTGGAACCCAGCAGGATGACTAAGGATGGGGGCACCTAGGGGTGCCTGGGTGGCTTAGTCGGTTAAGCGTCCAACTTTTGCTTAGGTCATGATCTCTCGGTTCGTGGGTTCGAGCCCCGCGTTGGGTTCTGTGCTGACTGCCAGCTCAGAGCCTGGAGCCTATTTCAGAGTCTCTCCGACCCTCCCCTGCTCACGCTGTCTCTCTCTCTCTCCTAGAAATAAATAAAAATATTTAAAAAAAAAAAAAAGGATGGGGGCACCTAGAAGGGCAAAGGAAGACAGTGCATTTGCTTGTTGCCCTTTTCTTCCTACTCATTCAGCTAAGAGCTGGGTCTGGCTCGGCCACTACCGTGTTCTCAACATCTTGCAAGGGCCTGGCACAGGAGAGATGCTCGACAAATACTTTTTGAATAAGTTACTTTGGCCCAAACCAGGGGAGGTCAGATTAAAAGCCTCATTCAGAACGTGTGACTTCTGGCTACCTGTTGTCCCCCTGGGATGTGACCTGCCAGAGAATTGGGCCATGCTCGACACTTCTGGTCATGCAGGGACCAGGCGTGTTCTTTTCTCATAGCGCGGCTGGGACCCTTCTCCAGCCCCGGTGCCAAGCACCTGCCCTGAAGATGGAGAGGGGCTGGGAGGAAGCCCAATTCAGAGCTGTGGGAAAGAAGCATGGAGTTGATGCTGAAGCAACCCAGGTCCCATCACCCAGAACCTTGGAAATAAGTCAAGGGGCAGTGGTCTTGAGCTGAGAGGAGGAAATCCGGAGGTTGAGTCACTTACCATGTTCTGTACAAACCCCCCTTATGCAACCCATCCCCCTGGGCTAAAAGGAAGGTGCGGGATTCTCCCGGACATCCACAGAGACTGGCGCCTCCTCCCTTACAAACTCAAGAGGCCCCACAGATGAGGGAATAAACCATCTATAGAGGTTCAGCTCTGTCTGCGCAGACCAGAGCTGGGCCAGTGGGATCCAGGAAGAGATGTACGACCGGGTGCTGAGGGACACAGAAGCAAAGGCAGGAAAGGGACTGAGTCCTGGGTGAGGCCGGCTTGGTGCACACGGATGCCCAAGATGTAGGAAGTCTCTGCCCTTGGGGATGTGGAGATGAGGGGAAGGGAGGGAGAAGGTGAGAGAGGTGACGGGGAAGATCCAGACTTTCCCTCCTATCAGAAAGTTATTCCTTAATGTCTAACTTGGGCCTTCTCAGCAGCGGCCTACAAGTCACTGGCAGCCCAGGAGAGACTCTAGCCCCTATTGTGTCTCATGTCTCTCACTGTGCCCATAATTCCTGGTTACTTATTGAAGGGACTCTCAGGCCCACCCTGTGCTGTGTGTCTCTGTGGGGAGGGTGTGAGCACGGAGTAGAGACAAATGCTATGTACTGACACAGCAAAGGGACAGAGAGAGCCTCAGGAGAATGACTCTTATCCCCTCTGGCCCTCAGCTGCTTTATCTGTAAGATGTGGCTCACACTATCTTGCTTGTCTGAGGCCAAAGCCCACCAGCCGATCTCTTGAGGTCTCTTCTAGCACCTCTTGAGATCTGTGATTTTTGTGGAGCGTTTTTTGGTTCTGCCTATAAGCAATCGTGTGACTCTGGCTAAGTCCTTTTCCCTCCCTGAGGCCTCAGTTTCCTCACCTGCAAACTGAGAAGTTTAGATGAAATCTTGAGGTCCTTTCAGTTCTAGCAAATATTCATTCGTCTTACCATGTGCCAGGCCCTGTTTATCCATGAACATAACAACACTGTGAGGTGGGTACTAATACTAGTCCTGTGGTACAGATAACAAAACTGAGGCACAGAGAGAAGTCACTGGTTCAGGTCACACAGCTAGAAAGAACTGGAGGGAAATTCAAATGGAGCCTCTTGGACTAGAGTTCTATGCAAGAAAGAATACTTTGCATAAAGGATTTTACTGGTAGGAGTGCCTGGGTGGCTCAGTCAGTTAAGGGTGCGACTTCTGCTCATGTCATTATCTTACCTTTTGTGACTCTGAGACCAGCGTCTGGCTCTGTGCTGACAGCTCGGAGCCTGGAGCCTGTTTCAGATTCTGTGTCTCCCTCTCTCTCTGCTCCTCCTCTGCTCGTGCGTCTGTTCTGTTTCTCTTTCAGAAATAAATCAACAATAAAAAACAACAACAGGGGCGCCTGGGTGGCTCAGTCGGTTGGGCGTCCGACTTCGGCTCAGGTCATGATCTCACGGTTCGTGGGTTTGAGCCCCACGTCGGTCTCTGTGCTGACAGCTCAGAGCCTGGAGCCTGCTTCAGATCTGTGTCTCTCTCTCTGACCCTCCCCTGCTCATGCTGTCTCTCTCTCTCTCTCTCAGAAATAAATAAAACATTTAAAAAATAAAATAAAAACTCTTTAAAACAACAATAACAACAACAAAAACCAAGGGGTTTCACTGACAGGGGATTGTTCTCGTAGTTATCAACTTTCTCCTACGCACACAGGTCTCAGGCCTTTCCCAACGGAGTCCTCCCCCAGGCACTCAGATTCTAGTGCTTTGGGGAACCCGAGCCCCAGAGAATGAGGGACAAAGAGGGAGTGGGTGAGTAGGAGCCATGGGGGGATGTCAGCCTGGTGGGCTCAAGCTGTGGAACTGGAGGCAAGGGGTCGAGTCCTGGATTAAGAGCTAGAGGACCATAAATGTGGCAGAGCTATCTGAAAGCTGGCAGGCGCCCCCAGACCTATATATCAAGGTGCTGGGGTCAGCAGGCCTAGGCAAAGGGACTGGGTGGTGCTGCGATGCCCCCACAAGCCACAGAACCCTGATAGGGAAATATCCAGAGGCTGCTCCAGGCCTCTGGGGTTGCAGGGGTGGGGTGCCTTCATTATCCAGACGGATGGAGTGGGTTGGGGTGGGGGCAGGGGGAGAGAGGAGCAGAGCGACAGACACACAGCCTGGCTGTGTGGTGTGTCAGGGGAGAGCTGGGGGCAGTGTATCTGTATTCTTGGATATTTATTTGTGCCTGAACCGAGAGGTATGCAGTCCCAGCCACGTGCATTCCCCGCCCTTGAGGCCCCCATGCCACACATGCAACACGCCCCCCTCCCCGCAATGCCCAGGCCCAGTGTGCAGGCCCATTCCTGAGTCATAGTGCAATTTTATTCAGCCAAAGAATCATCATGCTGGGGTCTGCCCTTCTCCCTTGCCACCCGCTGCGATTTGTCCACGGTCTATGTCTCAGGCTCGGCCTGTGAAGGCCTCTAGGACCTCAGCAGGGTCAGGCCGGGCTGGGGGCTGGTGCCACAGTCTGCCAGCCCAGCTCAGCTGCAGCCCCCCACACCCTTGATGAGGTTGGCAGCCTCGGGGATCTGGCGGAAGAGGTTTCGGAGGGTGTCCAGCTCCTGAGTCAGCTGTTCCACACGGCTGCGGAGGCGCTCATTCTCTGCCATGTACTCCAGCACCTTCTGCTGCGTCTCCAGGATGCGCCTCTTGGCCTTGTCCCTGCTCTTGCGGACGGCGATGTTGTTCCGCTCCCGCCGAAGCCGGTACTCCAGGCTGTCCTTGTTCACCGCCTTCTTGCCTTTGTGCGAGGGGCCAGCTGGGGACGGCGCCTTGAGGAGGGGGCTGCAGGGGGGTGCGGCAGCGGCCACAGGGGCCTGGAGGGGGCACAGAAGCACGAGAGGTGAGGCTCTGGCCAGGAAGCAGAGTGGAGGCAGGGCAGGAATCCCAGTGGCACGGGCACCCTTGGGCGGCAAAGAGGTACGGGATCCAGAGCCAACTTTTGGCTCTCAGTAAGAACAACCACTGCCCTGCCACATGCAGAGGGTCCCCTGCTCTGACCAAAACTTCCTTTCGTGTTCCCACATGGTCTGAGGACACTGTCGTCAGTCTATCTCGAGTCTCTAGTCCTACGATCAGTGGGTGTTTTCTCTTCTAGAAGCAGGCGGCAGAGAAACAAGAGGAAAGGGCTGATGGGCAGCAGAGAAGCTGGTGGGATCTGAGGTCAGGACAGGTTGGCTGGCCACAGGGGCTGCGGGACACACTGGGTTCCAATCCCTGGGGTACAGGAAAAGCGTGGATTCACAGAGAAGCAAAGAGGGGTCCTAGCCGGGTGGTGAGCACAGAGGACTTTGGGCTAGGTCAGTTCCACAGAGCAACACCAAACACAAGACTCATTAGGGTAAGCGGGGAACTCAGAGTCCGGCACCAGCACAGGCCTCTCTCCAGCACCTGGGTGGCAGGGACCGGAGACCTGCTCTTACCTTGAGGACGCGCAGGGGCTGGCTGGGCGCTGCCAGGGCTGGGGGCAGGTGCATGGCCGTCTGCCCACAGTGTGCTACTTGGTACTGCAGAGGATTGTAGCCACCACGGCTGGCCCCTCGGCTGCCCTCTGGCCCCCGGGGCTCCTCCTTCACGGCCACGGCCCTGGGGTCGTAGCTCCCCGGGCTGCTGTAGATGCCAGGCCCCAGCGCCTTCCTGTCAGGGCCGAAGGTGTGTGGCGGGTAGGCGAAGGGCCGTGGGTCGGGCGGCAGGTAGTGGGGGAAGGCAGGGGCTCCGGGTCCCTTAAGCCCTCGGGCCTCAGGTGCCGGCTTCACAGTGAAGAGGTCAGAGAGGAGCTGTTCCTCCCCAGACTCGATGTAGGCGGAGAGGTCGATGGAGGCCTCATGCTCGCACATGTCCCCCAGCTCTCCGGGCCCCGCTCGGCCCCCCGAGAACTCGAGCGGCTGCTGGCCAGCCCGGGGCTCACACTCGTAGTAGGTCCCGTGGGACATGGCCGGCCCGCCCCCTCGCCTCCCCGCCCCTGCGGCCCTGCTCTTGGGGCACCCTCTGGGATGCTTGGCCTGCCCTCTCCCTATCTCCCCCTGCCCTAGATCTGCCCTAGATCTGCCCTCTCCAGACTCCTCTGTCACCCACTCCTGTGTGGCCTCTCCTCCCTCCTCTGCTGTTTCCTTTTCCTTCCTCTGTAGTCAATGCCTCTTTTCTCTTCCCTTTTTTCCTCCTCTCTCCTTGGGGTGACTTAGGGAGGGGCAGGGCACACCCCAGGGGAAGGGGTGCAGAGCTTAGATAAAGGGGGCCCCTGGCCTATTTAGCAGTTGGGAGCACTCTTTGGTCAGGGTCCAAGCCAGGGTTCTCAGATGCCTGGGAGCTGATGCTTCTGGGGATTCCTCCCCCCTCCCTGTTGAGTCCAGGGGATTCCAGAGTCCTCCCTGAGGGCAACACCTCACTCTGAGTGTCCTCCTCCCTCCGACTTCTAAAAAGTTCTGTGCAGATGAGGTGCCAAGTCAGAATGAACAGAGAAAACCCTCTGCCAGTGCCGACCCCCTGCCTGATCTGAGCTCCTCCCTTGACACGCCTCCCTCTCTGCCACCACCCCCTCCCCCGCCCCCCAACGCTGGGCTCCACCTACCCCCAGGGGCAGCCCCTTCCTTTTGTAGCCCCACCTCCCAGGACATTCTCTTGGGTTCGGGCCAGAGGGTGTTTGAGGGGTTTAGGAAGTAGTGACAGGTCCTGGGACCAAGCCACACCCGGGGCCTGCACTGTGGCGCAGAGCATTTGCTAGGTTCTTGTACAGGGTCTGTGCAATAGCCCGAACACTCTTTTATTTTTCCAGCCCCCGGTTAGCCCTAGCAGCCTGGCACTGCCACTGACTGCCAAGGCTTGGGTGAGGCACCTGCTCAGGACTTGGGCCCTGTGCCCCAGACGCAGGCAGGCTGCTGCCCTAGGAGCCGACAGCCGCACTCCTCTGGTGACTCCAGTGCTCTCTCCTCCAGCTGCTCCGCACTGCCAGAGCCTCAGGCTGGCACTGTGCACCCCCCCCCAACCCCCCCTGCTCTGGTCCTGGGGCTCTGCCCTGTTTCCTGTGCCTTGTGCCGCAGGGCTCAGGCACTCACTGCAGCTCGGTTTGCTGTCTTTCCTTCTGCATAGCCGTTCTCTGACCTCGATGCGTGTCTCTTGGGTCCACTTCCTCTTGCAAGGCTTGAGAAGACTTCTCTTTTGTCATCACCTCTTCCTGGGACTCTGTTGCAGGGTTTCCAGGAGAAGCCCAAGCTCTGCACCTTTGGTCTCATGCTGAGCCCCCTCTCCCTTCCCTTTTCTTTTCCCTCTGGGAACCCCCCACCCTCTCCTGTTAGAGATATTACAGTTGCTCTGTTTTTACCTGTTGAATTTCACTTACAAAAGGGACTATAGGTCCAGAAAAGGAAAGGACACAGAAATGTCACCAAGTCTTTTATCACCAGCAGATGTTGTGAGTAACCTGTGGAGGCCAGAAGGTTTGATAAATAGGGTACATGAAGGGCCAGACCACCGTGGGGGCAAATGCAGAGGCGATATGTGTGGCATTGAATGCTAAAATAAAATATGCAAATACAGACATGGCTGTTTACCTGTCAGGCTGGTTAGCGTCTTCCTCCCTCCCTATCCCCCAAGGGCACAGCTTGATGTACTTCTCTGAGAGCCCTGTCCTGGAATGGGGAGATCAGCGTGCATCCTGGAGATGGATGTCAGGGACCAGATGGGGAGAAATTTGGCTTATCTCCTTTTCAAAGGACCTTGGGTCAAACAGGTACCAGGGCTGAAGTACTTCAGTTTGGCAAGAGTGCCTCTATTGACCACCAGGTGGCAATGTTGGTCCAGAATTCAAGATTCGAGGGCTTGCTGTGGTCAGGCATCAGGTGGACGGCAGAGGGCAGTCTTCCACAGCCATGGCAAGAGCAAGCCGCCCCTGGGCCCCCAGGAGGAGGAAGAATCATGGCGGGGTGGGGACTTGCAGTGTGGTTACTGGGAGAGTGGCAGGATAGAGGACTGGGGCCAGGGCCTTGTCTCAATGAGAAGAAATTCTAGCCCTCTCCGACTTTGGAATAGTGACGATGGTTAAGGCTTGGCATTTTCTGGGGTTATGCTTTTTTGATCGTTGAAACATTTACTTTTCCATGCTGATCATTTCCCTGTGAGTTAAGGATGAAGGTAAGCAAGACAGAGGGTATTTTTTATCTCTGCCTTATAAAAGAGGAAAACAAGGCTGAAAGGCTGAACCTCCCAAGGTCATACAAGGATGCAGCACTGGCCCTGGGGGAAAAGGCAGTAGGCTCGTTCTTGAAACCCCCAGGCAAGAAGGGGTACGGAAAAGGGGAGCTGTGTGACTCAGAGAGCCATGTTTGCCCTCAGTCAGCTGTCCTGGGGGAGGGAGAGACCGTGTCAGTAGCCAGCAGCCAGTGAACGGTGGGGGGTTGGGGGGGGCAGCGCTGGAGGAAGCCGGGAAGTGTGCAAATAGAGCTGGCAGGAAATGAGAAAGGCTGGGGCCACAGGGAGATAAGTGATCTCGGTCCCTCACCTCCCAGGCTGGTGGCTGACGTTGCTGGAGTACTGACATCAGTGTTTCCCAGTAACCGAGGGGTTTCGCGGGGGTGGGGAGGGTGGTATTATGGATGTCTCTGCAGGGGAGGAGTGGGCACTGGACAGGAACAAGGGAGGGGAGGTCAGTGCCAGGTAAGGGCTGGGGGATTCTTGGGTTCTGTGGAGTTACTCTGGAGTGGAAAGGAGACTCCTTGGCCAGCAGGATCATTTTCTCCTCTACTGCTTCAGTTGCTACCTGTTTGCATTAACTGAAACAATGCATGATATATTATCTTAGTGACTTTGTAACAGGCCTCAGTTCAAAAGTCACCTCCTTCACCAGCTTCTTCCAACAGGGAGGCAGCCAAACAAGGCAGTGAAGTGTCGGAGAGAACTGGGCTTACATCCTACCTCTGTCATGTCCCAACTGGGTGACCTCAGGCAAGGTACTTAATCTTACTTGTAAAATGGTGGTAAAGTCTCCTTGGTTGGATTGTTTAATTAAACTTTGAATAAGATAATGTATGGAGAGCAATTGTTGTCAGTAAATGTTCAGTCTTCTTCCACCCTTCCTTTGACCACCTCTTGTGGTTTATCTGTGTCTCTTATATAGACAAGCTATCTGCAGCCTCCGGGGATCTGGCCGACTCAGCTCGAAGTCCACCCAGTGTGGGCAGTCAGCAGTGCCCAGAAATGCACACGTATGTGCCATGTGCCTTCTTTCCCTTGAAGACTATTTGCTCCTTGAGGGCAGGGTCAGATCTGTTTTTTGGACTTCTTTAGCTGTGGTGGTCATATTGCCTGAATTACAATTAGGAGAGGTGGATTGTCAAGTATGAATATTTTCGGGGAGTCAGTGGGACAAAGTATTTGAAATCTGTGCTGATCTGGAAAATCCAGGAATAAGTTTGCTATTCTCATAGCATATAGCAAACCCCTTGGACACGATGGTTCTAAGATATGTTGTCCGCCTAACAAATGAATGCTCAAGCAGCTATGATTTCAGTGACCCTCAAAGTCCCTAAGGTCAGAGCATCCGAATTCCTACCATTAAAGTGACTGACAGGGTTAAGACAGGGTAAAGGCCCAGGTTAAAAATAAATGCATGTTGCCCAGGAGGAGACCCACATTCGCCCATTTGGCCAGCTTAAAGAGGTCAGCAAATGTCACCTTAGGGGGATGGTGGTGGTGGATAGGAACATGTGTCCCCACAAGGTGAGAGGGGATTGGGAAGGGCTAGACTTGCTGGAGTGAGGCAACAGGGAGGATCCGCTGGCAGCCCATGGAAAGCAAAAGTGTGTGTATCGGGGCAGAGGGGGTACAAACGGATGGATGTGAGTCCTGGAGAGCAGCCTCTTGCACAAGACTGGCCTCTGCCCCGTTTTGCCCTTGCTCTCCGGGGACAACTTGGGCTGGGAGATTGAAGGGCCCTTTGAGATTAGGTTTAATCCTATTTTTTTTTTCTTTTCTCCAAAAGTGCTATATAGGTTAAATGACTTGCCCAAGGACACACAGCTGTTTAGTGGCTGCTGACCTGGGACTCAGAGCCAAGCATCTGTGCCCTGTGACTGGCACACCTCCAGTCTCAGTCTAGAAGAAATGCCAGGCACAAATGAGGAGAGTTGGGGCCAGGCCAGGACTGCGAGTGGAGGCATGTTGCCTTCCTGTGTCCTCACGTGTCCCAGATGGTAGGAGGTGATGTCTTAATAACCCCCCTCCCCTGCCTATGTCTGCCAGAAGTGCTGGCTCTGGAGTAATGCTGCCCCAGGACAGGCAGCTGGGAGGCTGCCCACAAAGGAGGCACTCCAAGCAAGGACTGGGTCTAATCCCATCAACTTCCTCCAGCAATTAACCCAAAGCACCAGGCAGACTTGTTCCTACTGTATCTGCTCCTTCTTTTGTCCTCACTCAACAGCCTTCCTAGTCTTCCGACCAGACGCAGTCCTGTCAGTCTGCTCTGTGCAGCTGAGGGGGACCCTGCCTCACCTCCTAGTCCCCCCAGTCAAACCCCTCGGATCTGGCCGGGTGCTTTCCTAAGTCTCCCTGGCATCTCTCCACAGGCTTAGCCTGTCCCTTCCTTTCCCACCTGGCGCCAGCTGTCCTGGTGCCAGAAGCCTTTGCTGACCCGGCCTTGGGGAACCACCCTGCCTTTGCCTCCCTCCACTCAGCTTAGTCCTGTCTGTCATCCACATCCCACTGGGCAGTGAGGAGGTTCTTCTTCCCAGCTAGTTTGCGGGCTCTCTGTACAGGGCACAGAGCAGGAACTTTAACACTTTCCGACTTTACTGAAGAAATGAGAAAGCTTTTGGTTCAAAACGAGAGGGGATTAAAACAACAACAACAACAGCAGCAGCAACAACAACAACAACAGACCCAAAGAGGTGGTTGTTTGTATGGCACTGGGTCCCTGGGACAGAGCAAGGGCCATCCTAGGACAAAGCTGGCAACCAAAGCCTCCTCACGAGATAGGAAACGCCTGGGGACTCTGTCTCAGAAGATCATTGAATTATTACCACCAACAACTTCATTTCCATTTAAAATTTTATTACATCAAAAGAAACAAAAAACAAAAAACAAACAACCCTCCACAAAACGAACTCAACCAACTCAACCCTCAACCAACTCAAAGACAGAAGATTATTATCCAGGTATATAAGGCCCTCCCCCACCCCCACCCCAAACAACCTTACATTAAAAAATCCAAAAGAAATAGAAATACCAGCTTCAAAAATATTTATCCAAAAAAGTAAGGCATTCACTTTATGAAACAAACAAACAAATCAACCCCAACAATTGAAGGAGGGATGGAGGTTGGAGGAATGAGAACAGAGAACAGGAAGACAGTCCCCTGACCCTCCAGGGGCCAGCCCTAGCCCGCCCTCCACTTGGAAGTGACCAGAATTCAAACCAAACCTGGCAGCTCACCAGTAGGGGGTCAGGCATGCCAGGTGGGGAGTTGGTGGAGCCAAGCAAGCCAGGACGACTCCCCACGTGTTCTAGTCTAAGCAGATGGTACAGGGAGGTAGCAAAGGGGGACTCCTGCTTTGCGATGAAAGGATCCTATACCTTAGCACAGCAGGTGTGGCGGGGAGGCTGCAAGACGCAGGGCAAACATGGTGGCCTTCCTCTGGAGTACAGGGAAAGGCAGCGTCCGCCCACAGGATGGCCAGAAGTCCACATACCATAGAGAATGTGTCTCCAAAATGGGTACCTTCTGCTGCTGCCCTTTCATCCTGTCTTGGAGGCGGTCTAAGACAGGCAGGGGTGGGACCAGAGAGGGGGCTATCTGAGTTGGAGGAGGAGGAGATATGAACTAGCCTTCACAAGACACTCTCTCCCCAGACAGTCTCCCAGCTTATGGGATGGGCACTTCTGGGGGGTGGGTGGGAAATTGCCCTCCATTCCAGGAAGGCTTTTCATACCAGGTCTGTCCTGAGGGTTAGAAATCAGGGAGTATTTTTAGGTCCAGTTCTTGGATGGGAGGTGACTTAAGGCTGATTTGGCTTGGGTTTCAGGCCTGAAGGGCTTGAGGAGCCTTCACATTGGTTGGTCCGGGAGCCAAGCCAGAGAGGAGGAAAAGGACATGATGGGGGCACCAGCAGGAGGCATGTTGGGGGCGGGGGGGGGGGTATGGCTGCAGGGATAATGGAGTGACTGCTCCTTCTCATGGGAGTGGGGAGGGAAGAGGAGCTGAGCAGATTTGCCATCAGGAGAGAAATGTCCACTACATTGAAAACAAGAAGACTTTCTGGCTTTAGGAAGCTTTGGCACCGAGTGGGGGTCAGGATGCAGGAGGGGCAGGGCTGGGTTTCTGCAATTTGAGCCTTTCCCAATCTGTTCCACAGGCCTGGCTTGGGGTTAGGAGGAGGGGGTAGTTCTCCTGCTCATTGGTCCTTAGCTCAATAGGGAGGTGGTGTCCTGACAGGAACCTTGCTCTAGCCAGGGAGCCCAAGCTGGGGTGGGGGGAGGTACACGGGGAGGGAGAGAGGAGAGGGCAGAGGGAAGCATATCTCTGATTTCTTGGGTCCCTAGTGAAGGGCAAGGGATACTGGTCTCTCCAGCTGACTTTTAAAGAGACAGATTTGCTTGAGTCTGTCCCTCCCCAACAGACTCTCTATTGCTTTCATTTCTCTGAGGGGAGGCCTCTCTTGGGCTCAGGAATGGGGAGGAAAGGCAGTACTGAACTGGGCTCCTGAGGAGGCAAGTGAGGTTTGAGCCCTCAGGGTGGTGCGGGGAGGCCCTGTAGGGTACCCCCAGCAGCTCCACTCTCCTCCCACTGCTTGGAGCAAACTCTCACCAGGGTTTTAGACACAGGCCCTGGTGGCAAGAAGCTGGTTCTTTGGGTACAAGTGTCAGTGTCTTTGTTTATAGTTTTTTACACCCACACCTATGATCCACACACCCAGATCCACACACCTGTGTGCGTGCCTGTGTGTGTGTGTGTGTGTGTGTGTGTGTGTGTGTGTATGTGTTGGGGGGATCTAGGCCGGGAAGGAGGGTAAAAAGTGGGTGTAGGAGGAAAGAGTCAGTTGAGAGGGGATGGTAGTCCTTAGGGCTGGGGCTGCTCCGAGTCCTTGTCCTTGCTGGCAGTGGGTTGGTAGATGGGCTGCCGCTGTTCCTCTGTGTCCTCATTTAGCTCCTCTGTCCCCGAGCCCCCCTCCACCTCGGGGTACACAACCACACACATCTTCTGGCTCCCCAGAGTTAGCAGCTCTATGGAAGGTTACACAGAACAGATCAGTGCTGAGCATCCTACCAACCCTGCCCAGATCTCCTGCCCCAGATGTAGACTTAGTAGAGCTGCCAGCACCTTCAGGAGACTTCCATTCCAGGAGATAGCTATCTTGCCGCCTCCTCTGTCTCTGGGCAGCCTGTTGGTGGCTGCCCAATCCCATCAAAGCCTAGCTCTTCACCTTCCCTACTATGCCTGCTGACCACCACTTCCAGGGTCTCCTCTGGCCTCCATCCCAGGCAGCTCCTGCAGGATGGCTGTCAAGTTGCCTATTCTTACAGGGCTAAGGTCTGTGTGCAAACCTCAGCTGTTCTCCTCTCCTCAGAAGTCTCTGGGAAGGCACCCACCCTTTCTCATCCTGTCTTCTTCTATGGAGCTCTGTGGACCAGCCTAGGCCTTCTGACCAGGACACCCAGTCCAGACCAGAAGGCCCTCTAGCCATCCAGCACCCTCAACAACTCACCAATGAAGTTATTGAAACACTTGGGCTTGTGTTGCCAGTAAACACCCAGGAAATAGACGGGCACTCCTGTCAGCATGATGGCCAGGCCAGTACCACACACCACGGGCTCCGACCACAGGCTAAAGATCAGCAGGAAGGCCCAGAACAGCAAGTAGATGATGGGGAACAGCAGGTTGATCTGTGGAGCAGAAGTGCTGTTAGCTGTGTGGACCCCATGGGCCCCAGGATCAGGGTGTCCTCCTTCTCAACCTACAGGGAGGCATCTTTGAGGGCAAAGGGTAGGCTTCACTCAGCTCTGTGGCTTCCACACCCCTATGCCTGACAGATCAAGTGCTATGTCAACAAGCGTTGGTGAACTTGGGTAGTGGGACAGGAAGAGGAGAGAGGAACTGGGAAGGAATGATCCTCACTAGATCGTCTCTTCTGGGCAGGATCAAAGAAGGCTTTGTCATCCATGCCATGTGTTTGTGGCAGCCAGAGAAACCCACTGAGATTGATAAGCTTGCTGGTATATTGGTATATATTTGCTGAGGTCATAGGGTGGAGGAGAAGAGGAGTAATGAGGGAGGGTAAAGAGGGAAGTGGCCTGGATCTGTCAGGCTCCTTGCCCCTTGCCCAGCTCTAGGTAGGGCCCTCATCTGAGCACCATGTGGGCAAATGTCCATCCCTCTCAATATGGGAGTTCTGATCCCAGGGTCAGTCTCAATGTGTTTCTCTCAAGCAACTTGAGAAGATAAATCTGCCAAGGCCCAAGAAATCAGGAAACCTACCATAGTATAACGCAGTCTTGGGCCTCAGGGTTTTCAAAAAGAAGCATCAGCTCTATGGGTTTCATCCTATCTGGTTGGCCACAGGTAGGAGTTCCCAGTAGAGTCTTCTTCAAGACTCTAGATTCAGCTGCCTTTCTCTTCCTTGTCATCTCTTCTCAGAGAGTATGCAAGGGTTGGGGGAGGGACGGGTTATTCTACATTGTTATACTTCTAGCAGGCTTTCTAAGAGTGGTAGGAAAGTGGCAGTAGAAAACAGATTTGGAGAGCTAGAATTCCTCAGCTGGAACAACCTTCTGGAAGGATCTAGTCACCTCTGTTTCCAGAATAGGATTGTTCAAATAGCTCAGTGGTACACTCTATTCTTCTAATCTGCAGGAGAACCCAGGGTACTCTCACATATTTTGTTCTGAGCAATCCCATTCATTCCCACCACACAATTATCTCTTGTAGCCATCAATAGGTTCACCAAGCACCCTACTACATATAGGGCCATCGCAGTTTAAAAAGGGATGCTCATGGAGGGCTGGAGTGGACTGGGGAGCTTCAGGGAAGAGGAGGAACTTGAGGTCTATGTGGAAAATGGTTAGGATTTGGATAGGCAGATGGGAGAAGGAAACTCATTCTGGGATGGAGACATAGCTCAAGTAAACTCAGCTATCTGGAAGGATGAGGAGGAGACAGGCCAGACCAGCAGGTTCAGGGAAACGTTGGAGATAAGGGAGTCTGGAAAAATCAACTGGAGTTTATAAGAGTCATAGGAAACCAAGAAATGACCTGATGAAAGTACCATTTAATCTAACTTATTCTTCCAGCTGCAGTTTGTTCTGGTCCTGTCTCCAGCGGAAAATGGAAACAGCTGGCCCATTCATACATAGCCCTTGCTTCCCAGAGGGTCTGCTACCATCATAGAGATTATGATCAGTGGTCAGCAGCTGAGAACAAGGTGATTTAAAAATCTGAACTGAAGCTAGAACCAGTAGAGGAGAGGGAGGGGGTCCCAAGGGCAAGTTCTCGCACCTTGATAGGGCGGGGGATGTCAGGCTTCTTCCAACGAAGAACTATCTGTCCAGCAATTGTGACTCCATAGAAGAGGTAGTTGATAAAGCCCACGTAGTTGATGAGCGTGTACATATCGCTGGTGACCAGCATCAGCAGGGTTGAGACGCACTGCGGAAAATGGGAGAAATTCATCATAATCAGAAAGGTATTTGGACACTGGAGGAGCTATTTACAGGTCAGGGGACTGTTCTGCCTCTAGGAAGACAACAGCATTTTATGATGAATGTCTCAAAATGGAGACTTTACAAGCATCTCCTGGTCATCCTGGCCATTGCTAACACCCTCATCGCCAGAAGTTATTTCTTATTGCAGGAGTGATAATAAAAACATTTAACCACTGGTATGGCATGGGCACTAACGAATCAGAACAGATACTGGCTGTAAACAACTGGATTGGCCATACAGGTGGCAGTGGCTCTGTGTCTGCCATGGTCTCACTTATATTTCTTCCTTGGTTGTAGCTCAAGCTGTTTTTTGTTTTTTTTAATCCCTTAGGGAAAATTGTTAACTGCAGATTAAAGCTTTATTCTTGCCCTCACTCTCTTCTCTTGGCTGAGTCATCTAATTTATCCCCCCCCATTTTTAAAAAATATCACAGTTTTATAACAATCCCAGCCAAAAATATAACTGTTTATAACAGTTATAAAGCACTTACTAGGTGCCAAGCCCTGTTCTTAGTGTTCTACAAATATTACCCCATCTAACTCTCATAAAATACCCATGGGGTTTTCTTGACAGAGTCTACTTTCCAACTTGAAAGTCATTTCAGTGGCTCTCTCAGAGCTGTGTTCTGCCCCTTTGTTAACTTGTTAAGGCCAAGAGAAGATTCAGTTCTCTTATAAGATCTGATGGTGAAAATAATCTAGAAGATTTTAACAGATGAATAAGCCAGATTCTGACTGTACTTGTCTTGCAGTCACAGGACTGCACCAATGGCTCAAACTGGAAACATGGCTGTGGCTCACTGGGAGTACTAGGTGGTCTGCAGGCACCTTTCACAGCTAACCAAGCACAATGGCCTTCATCCCATATCTGAACATTCTGAAACTCCCCCTCAAGTTGTACAATGTTTACACTTGACTCCTGAGACCTCTATTATCCTGGTCTAACTGCTTCTCTGATGGAACAAAATCATTTTCAATATTTCATTCAGGATCCAGAAAGAAAAAAAATAACTCAAAAGACTCAGTGGCTCAGTGGGGACAAGTCTTTGCTCTTTCTTTTTGCCCCTCTAAATGACTCTACTCTGGGCCATTTTATCTTTATTTCTTCCTTATCCCAAGTTTCCTTTTCTCCATTTTCAGTTACCAGTCTTCCTTTCTTTATGATTTTCTTATTTGGTGTACCTACCCAAAACACTGAATTTGTTTCAGTGATGTTTCCCAAGAGATAGGCAGAGCCTCCCGCAGTAAGAAGATTGAGGGGAGTGGTGGGAGTGTACAACAATTGGCCAGGAGCAGGGGCCCAAAGCTGCAACCCTGTGTGCAACAGGTGCAGGAGAGAGCCAAGAAAGTAGAAGTTTCTTTATGACGCTATAGAGTTGTGAGACAGTCCCTTCAGTCTGACCCAAAAGGATGGGAGAATAGAAATGAGCCAGGGTGAGAGCCTGAAGGTGTTTCATGACTCAGGGTTTTTCCTTGTTATTTTTCTTGATATTCACAAAGCTCATGTATACCATTTGCCATATTATTTAAGACCCAATGAAACCTAGGAGCAGGCCAGAAGGGGGACAGGGATGTGTGTGGGAAGTGTGAACTCCCATCTCAGGGCAAGGGCAAAGAGGGAGGGTATATAAAAGACTGGCAGAAGGAGGGGCCCTTACTGTGAAGAGTAAGGCTGGGATTGGGGTGCAGCGCTTCACATGGATCATGGCCAACACACTGGGAAGGTGACCTTCTCTGGCTCCAGCAAAGAACAGCCTGGTAGAGAGAAAAGGAGGTCAGCCTGGTATGGCCCATGGACTACCCAAGGAAGCTCCCTTCCCAGCCCAGTTTCCCTCATCCATGCCTACCTTCTGCTCACACAGGAGCATCTTCCCCACCCTAACCAGGTACCCACCTTCCCATGCACACTCCAGCCCACTTGTCCCAGGACCCACGTTCACAAGTGCAGGTGCAGGCAGACCAGAGGCAGCCAGTGGATAATGGATGGATTCTGGGTGCATGGAGACCCTGAGTATAGTCTGAGTGGTTTGGGGTTACTGATGATTATGCCTTCATTTTGTGGGTCTCACAATGCTTTAATCCCTTTAAAAATGTGCTTCCTCCATCCTGGAGGGACACAGGTTCTCTGATACATGGAGACTGAACTGCCTGTCCATGGAAAGCCTTAAAAACACTGATATCCTAGTCAAGAAGTAGTTGCTACTTTGGGGGTGGAGAATGGGTGGTAGACCAGAAAGAGAAACTTGGGTGATATGTGGAAATATTCTGTATCTTGTTTTGGATGGTGCTTACGTGGCTGTCTACAACTTTCTTTTTTTTAATTTTTTTATTTTTACTTTTTAAAATATTTTTATTTATTTCTAGGAGAGAGAGAGAGACAGCGTGAGCAGGGGAGGGTCAGAGAGAGAGGGAGACACAGACTCTAAAATAGGCTCCAGGCTCTGAGCTGGCAGTCAGCACAGAGTCCGACGCGGGGCTCGAACCCACGAACTGCGAGATCATGACCTAAGCGAAAGTCGGACGCTTAACCGACTAGGCCACCCAGGCATCCCATGGCTGTCTACAACTTTCAAAACTCATCAATCTAACCACTTATAGTCTGTGTATTTTGTTGTAATGTATGCATTGTATTATGTTATACCTAAAAATTTATATCCTTAAGCTATTTTTTTTTCTATTCCCAAAAAAGCCATCCTAAGGAAATTAATAGTGAGTTAGTGAAAGGTATATATACAAAGATACTCTAATGATGAAAAGGATTGGAAATATCCTAAATGCCCAAAAGTAAGAGATTGATTACATAAATTATGGTGTATCTATAAGATGAACTATTTTACAGTTATAATAATGTTTTAAAAAATTGATTACATGAGAACAAGCTCACAATACAATGTCAAGTGGTAAAGCAAGGTAGAAAACTGTATGGTTCTGGGGCGCCTGGGTGGCTCAGTCGGTTAAGCATCCGACTTCACCTTAGGTCATGATCTCAAGCCCCGCGTTGGGCTCTGTGCAGATAGCTAGCTCAGAGCCTGGAGCTTGCTTTGGATCTCAAAAATTTAGGGGTGCATGGGTGGCTCAGTTGGTAGAGCATCCAACTTCGGCTCAGGTCATGATCTCATGGTTTTTGGGTTGGGGCCCTATGTCGGGCTCTGTGCTGACAACTAGCTCAGAGCCTGGAGCCTGTCTTCAGATTCTGTATCTCCCTCTCTCTCTGACCCTCCCCTGCTATGCTGTCTCTCTCTCTCTCAGAAATAAATAAAACATTAAAAAAAAAGAAAACTGTATGGTTCCATACAGTATAATTCCAATTAATTTAGAAATTATGGACATGTAAAAACATACTAACTGATTATCTCTGGGTGATAGGATTATGAGTAATTTTAATTTTCTTCCTTAGACTTTATTAAATATTTTAATTTCTAAAATAGACAAGAAATTTATAATTGGAATAAAATTATATTTTAACCTTTTTAAAAATTAAACTTTCTTTTGGAAATAATTGTAGATTTATAGGCAGTTGGAACAAATAATACAGAGAGATCCTAGGTATCCACCCTGTTTCTACTGGTAACATACTGCCAAACTGTAGTACAATATCATGACCATAATACTGATGTTTAAAAATAAATTGAAAAAAAATTTTTAATGTTTATTTATTTTTTGAGAGACAGAGAGACAGAGCATGAGCAGGGGAGGGACAGAGAGAGAGGGAGGCATAGAATCCAAAGCAGGCTCCAGGCTCCAAGCTGTGAGCACAGAGCCCAATATAGGGCTTGAACTCACAAACTGTGAGATAATGACCTGAGCCAAAGTTGGATGCGTAACCAACTGAGCCACCCATGTGCTCCTAAAAGTCAATTAAAAATGTTTATTTATTATTAAAAACATTTTTAATGTTTATTTTTGAGAGAGAGAGAGATAGATAGCATGAGTGGGGTAGGGACAGAGGGAGTGGGGAACAGAGAATCTGAAGAGGACTCTGTGCTGAGAGAGAAAGCCCTATGCGGGCCTCAAATTCACATGACCTGAGTGAAGTCGGACACTTAACCAACTGATCCACAAAGGCACCCTAAAAGTTAATTTTTAAAAAGAGAAATTTTAACATAAGGCAACCCTTCTTCTCCATCCCTTTTCAGAGAGAAAAGAATACAAGAAGCTGTTGGAAGTTATTTACATATTAATGTGGATTAGCTTTTTCTTTTCTCTAGAATTTTGTGGGGAGAAAGAAGCACTTACCGGGTAGGAAGAAGGGGGACAGAAAGGACAGAGGCAGCACTAGGTGTTCTGAAAAAAACTGTCACTTACATTGTAATTTGTGTGTGAGGGGGATGGACCAACAGCAGCAGTTTGGCAGAAGTGTGGGAGTCCATTATGGTTCCAAGTACCCATGTGCATCACTATCAGTTGCCATCATCAACTACCTAGGCCACTGTCACTAGTTTCATGCAGCAACACAATATCGCCCCTCTACGGTACAGCCTCATGCACCCATCTCAGCCACAGGTGCTCTGTGGGCCTCATCATGCACATAGCCAGGGCCCCGCATTCACATCCCTCCTCCACGTGCAGCCAGGACCAAGTGTAACTGTCCAGGTCCAACAGCATTTGCAAGAGTCAAGTTCACAAGAGACAAGTCTTGCCCAGCTAGCTGACAACAGAAGAGACAATGACATTAAGCATGACACACGCCACACACACGCCTATTCCTCAGGAAGGATCATCCTCTCCATACACCAAACACAAAAGAATAAGAGAGAGGAGGGAAGTAGGAGGAAAGAAGGAAGGAACTGGAAAGATGAGGAGAGGAGGCCTGGTGGGTGAGCTGTGCCTCCGAATCAGAGCCCTCACACACCAGGGTCACCGTGTCCTGCATGCACACACAGCTATACCACATGCATGCAGACCGCTGTTTGGCCTGCCTGAGGGACAAACCCCACTCTAAAGTGACTGTAGCCAGTCATTCTCTTCCAATAGATCCCAGAGAGCCTCATGGGTCACTGCTCTTCCACTGCTCGCCCTCGGTTGAGGCCTCCAGGTGGCCACTGCTCCTGTGTAACATGCACACGAGGTTGCTGTGGGTGAGTCTCATAGGGTCCTGGGGTACAGAGGATAACTACACTCCCTCTTTCTTGCCCTGTGTCTTGAAAACATGGCACTCCTTTGACATTTCATGAGAATTTCTCCCTGATGTGATACGTGCCTTTGGAAGCAGCTAAAAAAACCCAAGGACTCACCACTTTTATTGTATCTTTTCAGTAGACTGTGCCCTGGGGACAGGGAACTTTCTAAGAAAACTGGGAGAACCCTTTGAACCACACCAATGGAAACCACCCAGCATCTGCTTGTCTCAACAGCCCATTCTGGAGATAGCAAGAAGAGATACTGAGGAGGGGCCAGATTCCTAGAGGTATAGAAGCAAGAGCTAGGGATTCCTGGACCCATTTGAGCTTCTGGCTTCCCTGAGAATTCAGGAGCTCAGGGCATGGGTCTGGACAAATGCTTTCCTTCAGCTCTTCCGCATTTCTCTTACTTCACATCCTTTGCCCTAGTCTCCTGAGCAGCCATGAGAAGGCCACCCGCAGCCACATGTCTGTTAAGCAGGGAGAGGCCACAGGGCACTCTGAGATGATCCATCCCACCTGCAGGTTGGTCCCAGAACTTTCAGGAGAGGCCAGCCCAGAAGCCCCAAGCCCATGTTCCTCCTGTTCCCTTGTAGAGTGGGGTTCCTTTCTAGCCAGCATAGCCTGTTTCCAGTCAAGTAGTGAAGGGGCTCTGGGCTGCAGGTGCAGCTGAGACACTGTCCTGTTGCTAATCACAGTACTCAGACCTAGGACTGCATCAGGCATCCCGGGACCTCCTCAGCCCTGGGATCCTACTGAAATGAGGTGGGACGGGGCTTCTCGCCACTACATGTGAAGTCACACACATTGCAGGTAACCACGTGAGCAGCACACACCCCTCTGCGTCCAAGTTAACACACATCCACCCTTATGTGAGCAATCACCCCTTACAAGGTCACCACCCAGGTGCCCACACAGACTCCTGCTGACAGAGACAATCCCCTCACATATACACAGAGCAATATGCACAGCAGAGTGGCCCCTGGTCCAGGAAAGGCCTGGACAACACTCACCGGGAAGAAGTGAAGAGAGACCCATTGACTCCTCCAAATGTGGACAGGGCAACAGAAATGGGCATGATCCAGGCCATGACCCCTAGGAGCTTCTCTCCAAAAGTCTGGGAGAGAAAACAAGGGGGTGAGCAGAAAAGGTGAGATCACAGCCCTCCACTTGTACATCACTGCTGGCAATACTCCCTCCCATCTCTACCCTTGCTGAGTCTCTCTGACTAGGGTCCTTTAGGGGAGGGTTGAGTGCCCCAGGTCCCTCCTGTACTGCACCGCCACTTCCCTTCCCACGGCAATCACCATACAGTGTAGATTTAATCAGTGTTTTGGGCTATTAACTGAAGGAGACAGTGGATGGTGGTAATAATAATAATAATCACAACAACAACAACAACAACAACAATGATGTGCTAAAATTTGTTTTCCTTGTCTTATGAATGAGGAAACTAAGGCACAAAGTGAGATCACAAACCCAGAAAGTGGAGGGCCAGGACTAGAAGCCAGCTGTGTGAATCCAGGCCTCATGTGTATTATACACTAGTGAGTCAGGCCCCCAATAGTTTGGAGCTATGAGACTTTGAGCAAGATCCTTAATTTTTGAGCCTCAGTTTTCCCATCTGTAAAATAGAAATGGATCCTAATTGATAGGATGAGAATTTCTAAATTCATAGAACTAATATGCTAAGAAGAGAAAAATTGTAAGAACAAGCAACTATATAGGCTGAGAAAGAAAAGGCAGTGAAGCCATAGACTAGTCTTCATATATTAAAAGAATAGAAAATTTCAGGGGACTAGCCTTTTCTATGTTCTATGAGTCAAGTACACATTCAATTTCTAGCACATTATGGGGGAGAGGTTGTTTAGAGTAGATGTCCTGCTGGAGGGTTAGACTGGAGGTCATGGAAACAGGCTACCGCTGAAGGGCTTCTTTCTTTACAGTCTTCTGAGATAAGCCATGTGATGACAGTTTGGCAGGGTAGCCATCTGGGCCCAGGTGAAGACAGGTGAGGGAGCAGCATGGCTCCCAGGTCTTCCTGGATATCAAAGACCACAGTGCAGTGGATCTACATGATCTCTTTCCCCAAAAAGCACAAACCATTCCCACTTTCTGACTATTTACAGGCACACACTTTTCCCTGATGAGGGAAGGAGTCAGGCTGCATGATTTTCAGAGGAAGAAATGAAGGCAGAGAGAAATGGTGTTGTCTCAAGCTAGATTATATCTTTCTGAGGAGGAGCCTGCCTCCTTTATACAATCATCACATTTAGAATTCAAAGTGCCCCAGATCAGGAGTTAGCAAACTTCTTCTATAAAGGGTCAGATAGTAAGTAATTTAGCTTTTCAGGCCATACAGTGTCTGTGGCCAACTAGTCAGCTCTGTCGTTTTTGCTGTTGTAGGTGCAACACAGCCATCAGTTTGCTCCTGGGCACTTGAAGATGTGGTTTCTGTCCTGAGTACTTGGGCTGACTTCTAATTCCACAAATCCATTGATCAGGGAAAAGTGAGTGGGCTAATCAAACAGGTCTATGTCAACATTCCTGGTTTGAAGGACTGTGAGTTTTATTTCTTACCACAGCGACTGCGTTTGATGCCAGCAGCTCCTGGGGGGACATTGCAGTGACATAAGCGACATTGGCAAAGACATACACAAATGTGACCAGTGGGATGGAGATGAAGATGGCTCTGGGAAGGTTCCTGTAGAGGGAGAGGAGGTGAGAGGGGGAAGGCCTGGCACCTGGGACCACCTGCCTTGTGATGGGGTCTGGGGAGTGCCTCTTGTCTTTCTGCATGCAGCTGACTTTGCAGCCTTCTGTGATGCTCCCTTCTCCCTTGGGGTGTGTGTGTGTGTGTGTGTGTGTGTGCGGATTTTGTCTCAATATGGGCAGTACAATTTAAAATAAATGAAATAGCATAGGCTGGGAATCCGCTCCACACCTGTTGATTCTTTCCTTACTGGAATCTCCATGATGTACCTCTCTCCCCTGCCTCAAGACACAAAGACCCTCCTGTACCAAGACAGGTAAATAAGATATCAGGAAGCCTCTCAGGGCTATTTCATCCTCTAAGGCAGTGGTGCTATCTCAGCCCTGTTTTCAGCTTTTAATCTGCTCTGGGACAGTCATGGCATCATTTTTCTTTTCCTGGCAGGGTGTATGGCAAATGGTTAAAGTTCTTGGCAAATAACTCTTTCTTCAGAATAGAGCAAGTCACGGTCAGATGGGGACTGGAGGTGGAGAAGTAGCCAGGGGACACCTGGCTCTCTTTTACTAGTAGCAGGTGCCATGGCCTTTAGAGGGATTTGGGAAGAGCTGGGCTATTTCAACTCACTTGTAGGGATCAACAAGTTCCTCAGTCACGTAATTAAGAAAGTTCCAGCCTCCGTAGGCAAAGGAGCCTTGAAGGAAAGCCAGTGCGATGAGGCCGATGTTGGGTTCTTGGAAATTCTCAAATGCATTCTTTGGCTCCAGCCAGAAATACTCTCCTGTAGACACAAGGGGAAGGAGGCTGCTCAGAGAGACAAACCAGAGGCCTGACAACCCTTAGCCTGCCTAGTCCTGTCTCTGCCCCTCCCTGCAGTGATGGTCTAGCTCTTTGTCATGTCTCCAGTTAACCCTACACATTGGAGAAGTGGGACCAAAGGAGCAGGGAAATAGAGATCTAGGACTTCCCCAGAACCTGGTAACCAGGAGTCCAAATGGGCATTCAGGTTCAAAGCACAGTTCTCAATGTTCTTTTAAAAGGCAAGTTTACTTGGAAGGAAAGGCCAGGGGAGGTCACTGGTTAGGGCAGGGTAAGTCTGGGGCAGGTGGGGAGGTGGGGGGCTGGTTTGTTGAGATCTGGAGGTACAGGATTAGGGCCAATGGCAGTCTCCTGACCACCTTCCTTTATATCTAAGATATATCTATATCTATTTTTTTTTTTTACAAATGTACACAGTTTTATTTAGAAACAGATAGGTACCTGTTTGCATTATAGAATATAAAACTTGATTTACACTCTATAAAAAATAACCAGCATCCAAATTCAAGAGAGCTAGTATTCACAGAACATACAGTGTGGGTGTGTAGCTACTGCTCACCAGCCTCAGGCTTGATTTAAACCAAAAAGATAATCCAGGGGGATTGTTAGAGATTAAAGTACAATGCTTGCTGCTGAGAAGCACCCAGTATCTAGAAGTTGCCATTAGAAAGCATACGAAGTTTTGCTTTCTAAGTGCGTAACTTTAATAAGGACTGGGTTCTCTGTACCTAGTGAGCTGTGAGGCTCTCCCGCCACAAAGTTTTCACAAAGCATGAAGAACAACAAACACTCACATATAAGTTTCTATAATGCCATATGAGTCCATGCTCACTCTTTCTTTGTCAATAACCTTCTCTCTCTTTCTAAGGTGTGTGTCTTTCTAAGAGGTATCCCTCTTCATGGTATGGATTCCCTGAGGACAAGGTCCTTCAGCAAAGAGATTTTCTACTGCCTTCTCAACCCTTAGCACAGTGTCTTGAACACAGTGGGCCCTCAAGAAAGGTTGCTGATGACATTGTAATGAGACATAGATTAACTGCCCGTATTTACTTATTCATCTGTAATCCAGCATTTGGGCAGGAAATAAGATTTACAGTGATCAGAAGAAAGCATTGGGGCCAGAATAGGAGGGACTTATTATTTCTGAAAAGACAGCACAGTGATTTTTTTCTTTCTTTTAGAAGAAAGCATGAGCATAATCCCCACTACCACAAATTATACAGTCACGTTTCTCACATTTGGAGAAACTGCAAGGGTCAGCACATCCGGAGTACAACGGATAAGCCTTGTCCTGGGAACACCATCTTTATGATCATGGTATCTCCCCTGCCAGGTAAGTATGCACAGTGATTTCTTTAAACAGTATAACCTGCTAAAGAACTTAACATAACTGGTTGAAATAATTAGTTTCCTGGAGTAAATATCCAGGCACCCCACATGGCCTTTAGAGCTTGTAGGCAGATGGGAGGTCTTTCTGTTTGTCATCTGACTTTCTCCAGGAGGCAGTGAAACTGGGCAGAGCCTAGTGGTGCCATGGTTCCCGTGGAAACCACATAGAGACTCAGGCTTGGAAAGGACCAAATCCAGCGGGGAATGTTGGCAGGGGCTCCAGGAATGTTGAGCTCTCTCTTGTAGAGATTATGAGTAATTTGAAATGTGTAAAAATTTCCCCCATTCCTCATTTCAAGATATGGACAACGTACAATATAAGATGCAGGGAGCTTCCCTATGGCTGGAGCAAGAGGGCAATAGAAGTCCAGAGATCTGGGGTCTTTACGTAGCTATGCTGGAGCCATGAGGTCAGCAGGGGAGAACTGACTTCTGCAAACCAGGTGGGGCATGTTCAATTTCCAGCCACCCCAGGAAGAATGGTTTCTTTTCCCCTTTGTCAAGCAAGTGAAGAAGAAAAGTCATTCAAGGTCAGAACTGGGAAATCTCGGGGTGTGCACATGTTCAAAGACAGTGTGAGGGGGTAGGTACATGCAAGGTGTGGAGAGTTGGGTGGGGCCCTGATGTTCAGGTGATACTCACCCTTGCAGATCTGTACAATTCCCATGACGATGATCAGGGCCAGGGCCAGGAGCTTCCCAGCTGTGAAAATGTCTTGAACCCGGGTGGCCCAACGAACACTGGCACAGTTGACCCATGTGAGGAGCACTGAAATGACAGATCCCCAAACATACCCTCAGGGATATTAATGAGGCCCTCTGCACAGAAGCAGAAATGCTCCTGATGATGGGATTGTAACAGGCAAGCCAAATTTCCCTGAAGCTCAGCCCAGTGTCCAGAAACCTTGGCTAGGTTAATGGGTTAGAAATGGGGATTATGTGCCACAAATTACAGCTTGGTCAGAGCATGCCCTGCCCAGGGCTGGAAGCCAGAAGCAGTTTGGGCACTGGTTTTGGGGAAAATCAGCATCTGACCAGGGTGCAAGCGTGGGCTTTGTTTTCAGGTCACTGTATGTTCACGGGGAGCCCTAAGCAGTTGGTAGATCCTGAATGTCATCTTCCTCAGCCTGATTTTGGGGTAATAGAAGTTAGGGGAATCTTTTGTTACCTGAGGTATAATTTACATAGAATGAAATTCCTTTTTCTAAGTGTACAGTTTGATAAGATTCGACAAACATATTTCATCATTTAATCACTTACACACTCTTTAATGTGTATTTATTTATGAGACAGAGACAGAGCATGAGTTGAGGAGGGTCAGAGAGAGAGGGAGACACAAAATCTGAAACAGACTCCAGGCTCAGAGCTGTCAGCACAGCTCCCACTGTGGGTCTCAAACCCCAAACTGTGAGATCATGACCTGAGCCGAAGTTGGACACTTAACCGACTGAGCCACCCAGGTGCTCCACTCCTACACTCTTTATATAGAACATTTTCAACACTTTAAAAAGTGCTCTTTCTTGTACACTGCGCTCCTTTGAGGTCAATCTCTTTCCCCTACCTCTGGCAACCATTAATTTGGTTTCCTCCCCTAAAGTTTTGCCTTTTCTAGCATGTCCCGTGAACAGAATCATATAATATATAGGCTTTTGTGTCTGGCTTTTTCATTTTACGTTGTGCTTTTGAGATCCATTCATGTATGGCTGTGTATATCAATAGTCTGGGCCTTTTATTGTCAGCTGGGACTCCATTTTATGTATTAGTTTTCTATTCACTGGCTGATGGACATCTGGGTTGTTCCCAATTTGGGGCTATGATGAAGAAAGCTACTATAAACACTTGCACAGAAGTCTTTAAGTGGATTGTAGATGTCTCTGAGAAGAGTTTTCATTGCTCTACCAGGAGTGAGATTTTGAGTCATAAAGTAAATATATGTTTAATTTTATTATTATTTTTAAAGTTTATTTATTTATTTTGAGACATGGGCAAGGGAGAGGAGAGAGAATCCCAAGCAGGCTCTGCACTGTCAGTGTAGAGCCCGACATAATGCTCAAACCCACAAACCATGAGATCATACTTTGAGCTGAAGTCAAGAGTCAGATGCCTAACTGACTAAGCCACTCAGGCACCCCTAACTATTATTTTTTATTTTCTTAAAGATTTTATTATTAAGTAAACTTAATTTTTTTTTTTTTAATTTTGAGACAGAGAGAGCACAAGCAAGGGAGGGGCAGAGAGAGAGAGGGAGATAGAGAATCCCAAGGGCAGTGCAGAATCAGATGTGGGGCTCGAACTCATGAACCTGTGAGATCATGACCGGGGCAGAAACCAAGAGTTGGATGCTTAACTGACTGAGCCACCCAGGCACTTCAAAGATTTTATTTTTTTTTTTAAAGTAATCTCTACACCCAGTGTGGAGCTCAAACTAAAAAATCCTGAGATCAAGAGTAGCATGCTCTACAGATTGAGCGACCCAAATGCCCCTGAATGTATGTTTAACTTTATAAGAAAACAGCCAAACTGCTTTCCAAAGTGGCTATATCAGTTAGCATTCCCACCAGCAATGTGGATGAGTCTTGTTGCTCTGCATCCTTTCAGTGTTTGGTATTGTCAGCTCCAAAAGTTTGGCTATTTTAATAGGTGTGTAGTGGTATTTCATTGTACTTTCCATACAAGGGCTAGAAGAGAGCTGAGAGGCTGAATCCTACCAACACACTTACCAAGCAACCTGGGGAGCCTGTGCCATAGGAACAGGACTCATACCTGCTTGGGAAGAGCTTGAGATCAAAGGCAAGTTAAAATCCTCTTGTTTCCCCTTCCTCTGAAATAGTGACCAGGATGCCCTGTAGTCCTCCAAAGGTACAAGTCATACATGTAAAAGCACCAGATCTCATTTGCAACTAAGTGGATGGAACTAGAGGGTATTATGCTAAGTGAAACTAGTCAGTTAGAGAAAGACAAATGTCATATGACTTCACTCATATGAGGATTTTAAGATACAAAACAGATGAACATAAGGGAAGGGAAGCAAAAATAATATAAAAACAGGGATGGGGACAAAACGCAAAAGACTCTTAAATACAGAGAACAAATTGAGGGTTGCTGGAAGGGTTGTGTGTGGGGGGGGATGGACTAAATGGAAAAGGGGCGTTAAGGAATCTTTTCCTGAATCATTGTTGCACTACATGCTAACTAACTAAATAAATTATTAAAAAAACACAAAAACCCACCAGATCCCTTCTCAAGCTCTGGCCAAGCCTCTGACTTCACTTGAACAGCTGATCAAGTTATATCAATACCTGATCCTTAAACTGCACTTTTACTTTTCAAAAATTTTCCAACCTTACTTGATTCTGAGAGCATTTCTGCAAGGGTAAGGACCTGATGTTATTATCTGCCTGTAACCTTTTTCCCTGCACCTCTTCTATCTGGCAAGCTCCTTCTCATCTTTCAAGATCCAGCTCAGATGTCACTTATTCTGTGAGTCTTTATTGTTTTACTTATTCCTGACAACGTGACTGCAAGGTAAGGTACACCAGCTGCATTTTATAGACAAGGAACAAAGTTTGCCCTTCCTCTCTATCCCCAGACCACTTTCTTTTTTTTTTTTTTTAAATATTTTTATTATTTATTTCTAGGAGAGAGAGAGAGAGACAGCGTGAGCAGGGGAGGGTCAGAGAGAGAGGGAGATACAGCCTCTGAAATAGGCTCCAGGCTCTGAGCTGNGGGAGATACAGCCTCTGAAATAGGCTCCAGGCTCTGAGCTGGCAGTCAGCACAGAGCCCGACGTGGGGCTCGAACCCACGAACCACGAGATCATGACCTAAGCGAAAGTCGGACGCTTAACCGACTAAGCCACCTAGGTGCCCCAAGACCACTTTCTTTATATTTAGTTTTAGCATCTACTTCTTTGTATTATAATGATTTGTTTTTTTTTCTCTCTCTCCATGTAGACCAGGAAGGCAGGGACTGTGACTTTTCATGCTTTTAATCCCAGGGGATCATTAGTGCCTGCAAACAGCAGGTGCTCAACAAATATTTAATACTTGGATAAAGAAAATGCCCCACATCATTAGACCTGCAATCTCATCTCAGTCTATACATTCTACAATGCACAGAATCTCCCCTGCTCCCCAGGAATCTCATCAAAAGGAGACATGATCCTCAGATGGTTACACAGAACCAAAAGAGCAACAGGAAACTTGACTTCAAGAGTAGAAACTCTTGACTCTTCATGGAGGAGCTGTTATCCAAGATGGTGTCATATAAGGAGAACCAAAACATGTTGTCAGAGGAAGGATTTTAACTGCCTGAACAGGGAGAACATCTTGTAAATACTCGAATGTTCCAGATGGACTGAGACATTCTGATAAACACACACATTTGGTTTATCTTACTCAATTCAAAAAGGATTTCAGGATCACATGCCTGGTGACAATCCAACCCAAATCACTCTAAGCACTGAGGCCTGTGATCTGTCTCCTCAGGGCCCTGAGGCTTGCTAAGTATAAGGCTGCCCTGCCTCCCCCAGGCCCTAGGAATTCAGGCAGACACAAGCAAGGACTTAAGGATAAAAAGAGCCTGATACATGAAAAGAAGATTAGGACACAATACCCATGAGGCTCAGGGATAGGTAAGGATTACAGATTAAGGAACCAGATTATGATCACAGAAAAGAAAATTATCCTCTGCCAAAGGGGAGGAGAGGGCATGGTGGAGAGGACACAGGAAAGTACTTGGAGGGAAATAAGAGATGAGCAGGACAACTCACAGAAACTCCTCTCCCCTAGCAGGTTGGGGGGGAATGTGGTCCCCTCCTGGTGGGCTGGTATAGAAAACACAAAAGAATCTCCCTAGGAGGGGACCTTGTCAAGGTAGCCAGAAAGATTCCTTCAAACAGTCAGCTCCACAATAGTGCTGGGGGATGGGAGATGTTTGAAGGAAGGGATAATTTGTCAAATAAACTTGCTGTTGGTGTCTTCTGTCCCACCTGAGCTTATCTCCAAAATTTCACAAGAACCCAGCCCTTGACTAATATTTAACCTTTTACCTTTACAGGGATCTTTCAGAAATAAAAGGAGAAATCCTGAGAATGAGGTAGAGAGACAGGTTGCCGGTGACACTAATCTCCTTAGAACAATGGCTGCAGGCCCTATATCTGACCTTTTACCCTGAAGTTCGGTGATCACAGCATGTGACTGAGGGGAAAGGGGGCACTTTGAGTCTCCTGCTACCACAGGACACCTTTCCTCACAGCAGGCTGAAACTTGAGCCTCCAACCAGAGAGAAAAGGTCAGTGAGTGGAGGCAACACTGTCGGCACTTGCCAAGCCCCTGCCCTGCTCAGGCATCCTGTATCTGCTTGTCTGCTATCCAGAACCCCTTTATGTTGTTGATGACTATGGCCCCTCTCTCTTCTCAGCCAGACCCTGCATTTTGCATGCTTGAGAGACAGTGACCTCAGGGGAGCCACATGTAGATGGGGACCAGTGGCCACTATAGCTTGGAATGTGAGGGTTTTCTTCTATCCATCTCTCCATCCATCCATCCATCCATCCAAACATCACCTATAAAGGGCCTACATGTTCTAAGCACTCTGGTAGAGTGCCTAGGGGAGTTATAAGTAAGACACAAGTCCCTGCCCTCAGGAAGTTGAGAGCATGGGGGGGAAGTTGGGTGAGCTAAAAGATGATCATACAACAATGATCATTCCACAATGTGGTGGTAGCAGAGCTCTTCATGGAAGCCAGTGGGTGTCCATGAGGAGTCC